TGTGATTACAAAAGCTTCACTTTATCTGGCAGTAAAACGTCTGCATGGATGGTAATTTAGGCCACAGTTTATCAACATTCTAAGATGAACATCAGCAGCAATGCGAAAAACTGTATTGTTCAAGTTTTTACAGTCAGGGTCGTTCAGTTGCTGAAGTCTTCCACAAGTTAAGAATGGCAAGAAATATTTTTAAAAAAAATCGGGTCCACCGTCATGGTCTTGATATCCTTGAGTATGTTGAGTCAAGTACAATCCCTCTTGGTAGTGCATGGAAGTAGTACACAGAAGTAAAAATCCGACGAAAATCGTCGTTAAAAATCCACTCGGCTGTCTATTGTTTATACATGTGGTGCGAACAGCGGCAGCCATCTTTAAAATGTCTCACGGCAAGGTCACAAAAGACGGTTTAAAAAATGTTAAAAACTCATAGAAGAGTCCTCCAAGGTTATTAAAAAATGTGGATACGCTGGATGAGCAATGTAAAAACTATCAGGATGACAAAAATTGACGCTAAAAACATAATAAAAAGTATAAAATCGAGCAAGAATCCGGAGCTCAAGATATAACACGTCCACCCTCTTCCACAACACCTTCTGGTGATGGGGATTGTGAGAAATTGTGATGGAGATGGTCGGAAATGATGGGGAATGGTTGGAAATGGCGAGTGGGATGGTGGGAAATGGTGATGGAGATGGCGGGAGATGATGATTGGGGTGGTGGGAAATGGTGATTATGATGGGGAAGGTGATGATAGGGGATGGTGGGAAATGCTGATGGGGATGGTGGGAGATGATGATGAGGGATGGTGGGAAAAGTGATGGCGGATGGTTACAAATGGTGAAGGGTATAGTGGAAAATGGTGATTTGGATTGTGGGAAATGATGATGGGGATAATGGGAGATGGTGACTGGATGGCGGGATATGATGATGGGGGATGGTGGGAGATGGTCATGGGGATTGTGAGAAATTGTGATGGAGATGGTCGGAAATGATGGGGGATGGTGGGAAATGGCGAGTGGGATGGTGGGAGATGGTGATGGAGATGGTGGGAGATGATTATTGGGGTGGTGGGAAATGGTGATTATGATGGGGAAGGTGATGATTGGGGATGGTGGGAAATGGTGAAGGGGATGTTGGGAGATGATGATGAGGGATGGTGGGAAAAGTGATGGCGGATGGTTACAAATGGTAATTGAGATGATGATGGGAAATGGTGGGAGATGGTGATGGGGATGGTGGGAGATGATGATGAGGATGGTGGAAAATGGTGCCTGGAGATGATGATAGGGGATAATGGGAGATGGTGACTGGATGGTGGGATATGATGATGATGATGATGAGGATGGTGAGAAATTGTGATGGAGATGGTCGGAAATGATGGGGGATGGTGAGAAATGGCGAGTGGGATGGTGGGAGATGGTGATGGAGATGTAGGGAGATGATGATAAAGGAATCCGAATCACCTTTTCCTACCATACCCTTCTCCGTTTCTCACCATCCGCCATCACTATTTCCTACCATTCCCCATCATCATCTCCCACCATCTCCATCACCATCTCCCACCATCCCACTCGCCATTTCCCACCATCCCCCATCATTTCCAACCATCTCCATCACAATTTCTCACAATCGCAATCACCATTTTCCACCATCCCCAATCATCATATCCCACCATCCAGTCACCATTTCCCACCATCCCTTATCATCATCTCCAGGCACCATTTCCCACCATCCCCATCATCATCTCCCTACATCTCCATCACCATCTCCCACCATCCCACTCGACATTTCCCACCATCCCCCATCATTTCCGACCTTCTCCATCACAATTTCTCACAATCCCCATCACCATTTTCCATCATTCCCCCATCATCATATCCCACCATCCAGTCACCACCTTCCACCATCCCCTATCATCATCTCCAACCATCCCCATCATCATTTCCCACAAAATGAATCACCATTGCCCACTATACGCTTCACCATTTTCTCATGATGGCGGATGGTGAGAAATGGTGAAGGGTATGGTGGGAAATAGTGATTCGGATTGTGGGAGATGATGATGGGGGATGGTGGGAGATGGTGACAGGATGGTGGGATATGATGATGGGGGAAAATGGGAGATGATGATGGGGATGGTGGGAAATGGTGCCTGGAGATGATGATAGGGGATGGTGGGAAATGGTGACTGGATGGTGGGGTATGATGATGGGGGATGGTGGAAAATGGTGATGGGGACTGTGAGAAATTGTGATGGAGATGGTCGGAAATGATGGGGGATGGTGGGAAATGGCGAGTGGGATGGTGGGAGATGGTGATGGAGATGTAGGGAGATGATGATGGGGAATCTGAATCACCTTTTTCTACCATACCCTTCACCATTTCTCACCATCCGCCATCACCATTTCCCACCATCCCCCATCATCATCTCCCACCATCTCCATCACCATCTCCCACCATTCCACTCACCATTTCCCACCATCCCCCATAATTTCCGACCATCTCCATCACAATTTCTCACAATCCCCATGACCATTTTCCACCATACCCCATCATCATATCCCACCACCCAGTCACCATCTCCAAACATCCCCTATCATCATCTCCAACCATCCCCATCATCATTTCCCACAAACCGAATCACCATTGCCCACTATACGCTTCACCATTTTCTCATGATGGCGGATGGTGACAAATGGTGAAGGGTACGGTCGAATATGGTGATTCGGATTGTGGGAGATGATGATGGGGATGGTTGAAGATGATGATGGGGGATGGTGACAGGATGATGGGATATGATGATGGGGGATGGTGGGAGATGATGGTGGGAAATGGTGCCTGGAGATGATGATAGGGGATGGTGGGAAATGGTGACTAGATGGTTGGATATGATGATTGGGGATGGTGGAAAATGGTGATTGCGATTGTGAGAAATTTGATGGAGATGGTCGGAAATGATGGGGGATGGTGGGAAATGGCGAGTGGGATGGTTGGAGATGGTGGGAGATGATGATGGGGTGGTGGGAAATGGTGATTATGATGGGGAAGGTGATGATGGGGGATGGTGGGAGATGGTGATGGGGATGGTGGGAAAAGTGTTGGCGGATGGTGGGAGATGATGATTGGGGATGGTGGGAGATGATGATGGGGGATGGTGGGAAATGGTGCCTGGAGATGATGATGGGGATAATGGGAGATGGTGACTAGATGGTGGGATTTGATGATGGGGGATGGTGGAAAATGGTGATGGGGATAATGGGAGATGGTGACTAGATGGTGGGATATGATGATGGGGGATGGTGGAAAATGGTCATGGGGATTGTGAGAAATTGTGATGGAGATGGTCGGAAATGATGGGGGATGGTGGGAAATGGCGAGTGGGATGGTGGGAGATGGTGATGGAGATGGCGGGAGATGATGATTGGGGTGGTGGGAAATGGTGATTATGATGGGGAAGGTGATGATTGGGGATGGTGGGAAATGCTGATGGGGATGGTGGGAGATGATGATGAGGGATGGTGGGAAAAGTGATGGCGGATGGTTACAAATGGTAATTGAGATGATGATGGGAAATGGTGGGCGATGGTTATGGGGATGGTGGGAGATGATGATTGGGGATGGTGGGAGATGATGATGGGGGATGGTGGGAAATGGTGCCTGGAGATGATGATAGGGGATAATGGGAGATGGTGACTGGATGGTGGGATATGATGATGGGGGATGGTGGAAAATGGTGATGGGGATTTTTTTTTCCGTTCAGTTCCTGTGAGGCTTTAGTTTGGTGTGGCGCATTCCACCAAATCTATGTAATTGACCATGGCGAAAGCTATCAGTCAGTGGCCGTGTCACGCGCAGAGCCCTGTTTGACCTCGGTTTCTTGTCCCGGGGTCATGCCCGCATGGCCCGACAACCTACGCAAGATTTTACGAGACTGCATTCGAGACTACATAAAACACCGACAATTTTTCGGATGCACCAATATCTGCCAATAAGGCGATGTTAGTGAAAAGTTGAAATCGTGTGCTTTATTTTGATACCAGCTTTTGACAAAACCGTTGTTACTGCGTGTCAAACAAAAATCATACTTTTTAGCAACAAAAGCGAGGGCCGATTTTTTTCGGTGTAAATTTGATTCTTAAAAAAGGCCGAAATAAAAGTTTCAGTATAGGTTAAGGGTAGTGTACGCTTTATTTAAATGTCAACTGACTGCCATGGTCTATCAAATTTGATCAGATTCACTGACAACCGCATCTTGACCTCTAGATTTTAACCAATCAGCGGGCGCTTTCTATATCTGGTTTTCGGTCATTCACCGTTGTCGCGACATAGACATGGATAAACAAAATAATCATTTCAAGAGCAGATTTGTCACTTTTTATGTTCACAGGGGTGTGCTACACTATCAAAACTTACAAAAAAATAAAATATGGGTGGAAAAAAATATTCTTTAGGATGTGTTCTTCCTCAAAAATGTTTAATAAGTCACACTCACTGATTTTGAATTTTGGCACAGTTTGAGGCGGTTACACCTCTATGTTCCGACACCCCTATGTTCCGACTGCACATATTCCTATTCCTAACCCTAACCCTAACCCTAACCCTAACCGGGAGCAACACAATCTAGGTTGTCGGAACATAGGGGTGTCGGAACATAGAGCAGTCACCGTTTGAGGCGATTCTGGCCCACCACTGTGCGTCCCCCACTAATCGACGCCCATGCCGGGTTGGCACAGTGCTTCATAACGACAGACTTTACATGTAAATTGTATGCGAAGGGCCTACAGGTGTGCCTACATGCTGTACTGCGTCAGTTGGTAAAATCGAAAATTCTGAGAGAGACCCTAATTCTTTGACAAAGAAAATCTCTGCGCGTGGGTGTTTGTGTGGGTATAGTGTTTTATGGCACACTGCTGTATTTTCGTAGGCCCCCGAATTTTTCGTGGGCCCTTTAGCTCAGTGCCTACTGTTCCTATTGGATATTCCGGGCCTGACGATTTAGTAAAGTCGACTCCGATTGGCTGAGGCGCCGAATCGCAGAAATCTGTATGATATGACATACCAGACGTTATAGAGAAGACTTGGCTCCGTGGATAACGGGTGTTACCCAGAGTTCATTCCACCTGCAACCCTCTCTATGCAGAGACCGAGCAAGTGTATCGCGGGAACAATATCTACGACTTAAAACCGTAAGTTAAGCAAGTTATCTTAATATCAGGAATACCTATCTGGTGAGAACAAAAGGAGCACCACAATGTGTTTGTCTTTTGATTTCTTAAACCGACTGCACAGTTTTCACGTAACCAAGTAAAAGTGTAACCATGTGACAATCATCTATTTCTTAAAATGTTTTTGTTTTGTAAAAAGAGAAATGCAATTTGCTTGGAGTTTTAATGACCGAGTGAAATTTGAATGTGGATGATCGAGGGGGAATTACTAGCATTAAAAATAGGCAAATACAATATTGATTGTGCATTAAAAAAATACTGGCTTTGGCTTATGCTAAAGGAATTACTTGATTAAGCAAGCAAAAGTTCATCAGATCTATTTGAGAGGCAAACGAGCGAATTTCAACAGTTGTCCATTTGAAAATTGTTCTACCCTTTATGCAAATTAGTTTTTTTGACATGACTGGATTTTGTTCCATGTTACCAAAGATGTGCCAGACATTAGTCCCGGCACTGAATTAAGTTATTTTCCCGGTTCGTGCGCGATTTTGGTAGCTAGATATTCCCGCTTTCAATTGCTTCTATTGCTTCCAACTTATGTATTGCGCCCCGATCTGTCAAATCCGACTCAATCACATGAATCCTATTTATTGAGATTAAAACAAATACAAGAACATTCTAATTGGCTTGATCTACAGACTTCCTGGTTTATGTTTTCAGGCCTTTCAGAAGATATTGAACCAGTACTGGAAGAATATTGCATCTGAGCCAAAAAAATGTTTTTCGATAAGTGATTTTAATATTTAAGCTACAGTCCATCATTTGCAGCTATCCAAAATATAACTGACGTATTTATTGTTGAAAAGCATACTTGGTTTAAAGATAAGAATGGGACTAAACTCCCTGTGAAATTATTCTTTCTGCCAAACTGTCATTCTGAAGAAAACGCGCTACCGTTGACACGATGCACACTCGCGCGCGGTTGCTATCATTCGTCCGTTCAGTACAGTGCGCGACATCGCGTAGCTGCAATCGGCTGGATGAAAACCATAGAGCTTTTAACCCAGAGCGCTAACTCCTCATTCTGCGCGCGGAGACGATTTAAAGCCGTCCTGGGCGCAGACATTTTGAATTCATGTGCGTGTTTGTAGAACATAATGAAATTAGATGGATTGAATTTTGAAGGTGTAGGCCTACTCTATATGCAATGCGCAAGTAGAACATACGCAAACAACTTAAGCGCGTCATTGACGGTTCAAAATACGTGACGGCAAAAAGCATCTGCAGCGAATACACGTTGAGCTGTTTGCGTAGAGCAAAATGACACGCTCATTTGCTGATCGTGCGTTTCAGTTTTGGGCGTATTGGCTTCGATAACGCAACGGTTTGGAATACAAACGCAGATATGCAAATAGCCGTACAAAAGCCGTACAAAATTTCTAGGTCTCCATAGTTTTATGCACAAACATGGATGCGCCTAGCAGGCATTACTTTGTACACGAAGTTAGCGCTCTAGTAATTTAATATAGCTCTATGATGAGAACGTACCCCGGACGCTGAATTTGGGCACAATTCAAGACACGACTCAGCAACTTTTGATTTGAAATCAAGATCCTAGATTATTGTTTCTCAGAATATACAGCATTCACTGAGCTTCATCGGGTTAGTTGTTAAGCACCCTTCTTTAGATTTTTAGTACTTGTGTTGCTTCAAACGAACATAATGTACAAATTACAAATGATAGACTGTAACTTTAATCTTCTTAACAGTGAAACTCACGCGGGAACTAATGAATGTAATAAAGCTCTATATTCTTATTTTTCGCCCAACGATTAACCAACCAACCAGAATAACTCAAAATTCGACAACGTTATCTTTACTGACAATATTGAACCATTCTCCACTTTTATTGTTCTATCGAATTTCAGCGGTCATCTTCCAATTTGTTTTGCTCCAACCTTGCTCAAGCTAAGCAACAATCTAGTTCTTTTGGAAAAGGAATACATCAGCCAGAAATGTTGCTGCTCTAAAAGGTGAACTAGCACAAGTTGACTGGGATTCAATTATTACCGATGATTGAGAAAATTTGCGAAACTCGCAGTTCTTATCCAAGCTAAGTGAATTCATTGATAAATGCATGCCTATAATGGATTACTAAAGGTCTACTAAGAAAGTCTTTAAAAACGAAAAATAAACTGTATAAAATATTTCTTACAAAACCTTCTGAGATCAATAAATTCAAATACAACAGATATAAACACACTAAACCACCGTTATTTAGAGCTCCCAAGAAAATGTATTATTCAGCGTCTTTTGAGCAAGAACAGACGAACGTAAGAAATACCTGGAAAATCAGCAATGACATTTTGAATAAAAAGCACAAAAATATCCAGTCAATTAATTCGATCAAAATAAACAACTGTGATGATGTTAACGACCCTTAAACGATTGCAGAGCATTTCAAGCAATGTTTTGTTAACCAAGCAATGTTTTGTTCCCATGTCACTAATTATCTCCTCATGTCTGTCTGGCCGAGCTTCTCAAAATAGAAAGGTTAGTTGCAAACTGTCTTGAAAAAAATATCGCTAGATTTAAAAGAACTTTTGCACATACATGTACGGTTTTATATTGTGCAACCTGTCTAGACTCACACAATACGCTTTCACGGTGGAAAAAAAGGTGACCTTCGGAAGATATTTGAGGGAACAGATGGGAAATTCCCGAATTTTTTGGGCCTTTGTTGAAATCGAAATTTCACCTTTTCAAAAAATCCTCACGTACGAGCTCATTGTGCTAATAGCAGTGAACTCATTGATAAATGCATGCCTTATAATGGATTACTAAAGGTCTACTAAGAAAGTATTTAAAAAAGAAAAATAAACTGTATAAAATATTTCTTGCAAAACCTTCTGAGATCAATAAATTCAAATACAACAGATATAAAAACAATTAACCACCGTTATTAGAGCTCCCAAGGAAATATATTATTCAGCGTCTTTTGAGCAAGAAAAAACTAACATAAGAAATACCTGAAAAATCAGCAATGACATTTTGAATAAAAAGCACAAAAATATCCAGTCAATTAATTCGAATAGAAAACTTCTGACCCGATAATATATATAAAAGGTAACTTTCCCGATTAGCCTAATAACATGGGAAGAACTATTTGATTGTATCATTAAAATTCCAAATAAGAAGGTTTCTGGTCATGATGAACTTCATAATATTCTGATAAAAAAATTGCTCCTTTTATTGTTGACCCTTTAACATATCTTTTTAATCACTCTTTAATTTCCGGAGAAGTCCCTTATGAACTTAAAATTCCCATGTCACTAATTATCTCCTCATATCTGTCTGGCCATGCTTCTCAAAATAGAAAGGTTAGTTGCGAACAGGTTGCGTTATATTGTGCAACCTGTCGCGATTCACACAATATGTTTTCATTTTAGGGATCAGACGGGAAATTCCCGAAATTTTTGGGCTTTTTTTTAATCTAAATTTCTTCTTCAAAAAATCCTCAAGTAAGAGCCCATTGTGCTAATAGCAGGTCACAGTCGCTGAAATGCAAGCCTCAGAATCTATCGTCTTGTTAGGCTTAGGCCAAAAAAAAAAATTATCGGTCTCCGGAATTGATGCGGCGACGCGGGTTTTTTTTTTTTGGTGGTGGCTTTTTTTCAAGCTTGAATTGTACAGACAAGGTGGGTACTATTTTGCTTTTTTGTGTCCTCATTATACATTGGTGTCCTCCATAATTTGCCTTGGTGCCCTTTATCATTTACCTTGGTGCAATTTCCCCATTCCGCGGTGCTCCTTGGTACAAAAATTTGAGGAGGTGCGGCAATAGAGGGCGCTGTTGTAGCTTCCGTGTTTATTTGAAGAAAAAAAAAGGTTGACGCGCATGATTAAAATCGACGCGCGCGCTGACCAGAGACCGAGTATTTTTTTTTGCCTTAATTCAAGATTTGTTGGTTTGGCACCACACTGCTGACCCACTGAACTTTCACATATGACTAGATATGGTTCGACAATCGTTTTTAGGGTGTGCTAGATTTTTGCTGTTGGGATTTGTGAAAAAAAATCTTCAAACTTATATTTGAAGCTACTGCTTTCAACTAGCTAGTGCAGATGTCCACCGGTTGGGTCTAGTCTATGGAATATCCGAAATAGCAAGAACATGTAAGATGCGAGCCGATTCGGCGATTAATTATGCAAAACAAGACTTCGGCATGACCTCGAGATTCTGACCATTCAGCGGCGCCTTCTATATATTGGGTCTTCGGTAACCCGTTGTGGTCCGAAGCTGACAGTCCTGATCGAAATGTCACAGTTTCTAAAGTTGACTCCGATCGGCTTACGCGCGGAGTCGCATAAAAATTGCATTTTTTACTTTGAGGACTTAAAGCCCGAGTCCATCATTCGCAGCTATCCAAAAAGTAGCTAGCGTAATTATTGTTGAAAAACATACTTGGTTGAAAGGTAGTAAAGGGACTAAATTCCCTGTGAAATTGTTCTTTCTGGCAAGCTGTCATTTTGAAGTAATCAACGAAGTGAATCTGTCACGCGCACAAAATGTGTGTGAAAGACATTAGCGCGTGATTCAGCCCATGCCGTGAACCAACACGCGCGCGTACTCCGTTCGTTTGCACTACACTTTCTGGTTCGAAATGACGTCACACTTGGGTACTTCATAGCAGTTATCTTCATGCAGACATACGCAATACAACCAATTGATCCGTATTCCATAGAGTCGAAATACATCATGTTCCAATAATTATGTACACAAGGTCGCGTACATGTAGGCCTAGACCTACCGCATCACAATGTGATATTGGATAAGCCCTTCAAAAAAGCAGGGGTCCTATATTGTTATGTCGGTGAAAGTTAGCGGAAGCATTTTCTTCACAAAAGCCTTTGTGTTTAACGACAAAAGCATATGTTGTGTTTATTAAGAAAGAAAATGAGTTAAAAAGAAAAAGTTAAAAACTAAAGTACGTTTCTGAGTTGTCTTTTTATGAAACCAATAGTTCGCGCGCTTACTCCCTTTAGAGAACTGTCACTCGGAAACTTGGAAAAGATACTAAAGTAAGAGACGATGAAGACATTAACATGGGAAGAAAAATCAGCAGTAGGGGGGGATAGCCACGGAATAACACGTAGGTCGGGCAGGTTTTCGAGTCATGCTCGCAGAGGTGATATGTAAGGAAAGTGCCACTGCCGACATATATACTTTTATAGGGTTAAAAATAAAATATCATTATTCATTCGAAATGTTTTTTTTTGTGTGTTTCAAGAGATCGAGAGTGTCAGGATGGCTGATTCCACTGTCAACAGTGTGAACGCGGATGAGCGAACTAGCCCAAGGGCCGAGTTGACTCTCACCGAGGACGAAACAGTGACCAAGTTTCCACGCAAACGGCTCCTAGTCGCAGTGGCCGTGCTAAGCATTGCTGTACTCCTGGCTGTTTGTGTACTTCTACTTGGTAGGTTAATTCATAACGATAGCATTGGGCGATTTCATTGAGAGCATTAATTTTGTAAAGCATTTTGCCGAATAAAGAATCCTTTTTCGGGAGCCGATTCTTGAAAATTACGTCAGTGATTTGACTAATTTAAATAAAGTGTAAGAAAAAAGTAAACAACAAACACACGTGACATTATTTCTACCCTGAAACGTTGGCAGCCATGTCTATTGCATGGCCTTATGGGATACTTACCTAAGTAACCGACTCGGCGAGTCGGTTACTTGGGCGGGTCAGGCTCGAGTAAGCGCGAGTCAAGTGAGGGGTAAATCGAACGCTGCTGCGCTTGCACGAGTAAGCGCGGGGAAGTAATCGAACGCACTCTATCCGTGTTATATATTTATTCCCAAGCAATTTTCTTTTTCATCTGAGAGTGTTGTTTTTGAGTGTAGGAACTGTCTGGGATTATTTCCCTCTTAATTGGTTTGTCTTAATTAAGTTTTAATTGGGCAACACTAATAAGTAAGCAATAAAAGATAGGAAAAGACAAGAAAAAGTCATACATGCAGATTGGTTTTCTCCAGCTTAAATATGAGTCTAACTTCCCAGAGTTTTTTCTGTTTCCATGAGGGAAACACTCCACTACTATTGACTTTTCAACACCTTTCCCAGCTTTTTATCTTTTAAGTCCCTTCGCCAATTTTTTGTCTGTGATCCTTAATCAAACACGTAGCTATACATAACCTTGACCACTGGATCCTGCCATGGGGATCGAAGGGGGATCTGATCCCGCAAGGAGGATCGAAGGGAGATCGACGACAAGTGTAGGCCTAATCGAGATCATATCCGGATTTGATCCACCTTTGTCGATCCCCCTTTCGGGAAGGACACGATCCGGGTCTGATCCCGCAATACCATGCCATTCTTTTTGGTTCACGGCACTCTCCCGAAACTCTCCGAAAAGTTCGTCTTGGGCGGTGTTCGAAGTCATGGCGTCCGATAAAGGCCGGCAGTAACAGCAGGAATATTTTGCAGACAGGCAAGCATGGAGCGATAATGCGATGATAAGTACGTGTTTTAAACATTCGTAGACATTTGGGCCCGACATCGGAAAGAAATCAAAGCAAAAATGAATGGCAATCATCCATTTAAATGTGACGTGTAACGGTGACGAAGTTTTAATCGTGAGCAAAACAAGTAAAGGGCTCACCGATTGTACAGCGCGCGAAAAATGACCGCAAGTACGGTAATATCGCATAATAAGTGACCTTCCATCGGTTGTAAACGGTGGATCGAAGCAGGATCGGATCCAGTGTAAACGCGGCAGCGCAGGGGCGGCGGAACGCTTTTCAAACTGGGGGCAACACCAAAAAGGGGCACTTGCTAAGAAAAAAAGGGCACCTTCCGTCGGTGAAAGTGGAGGAAAAAAATATGGTCTTGTTCATTTCGCTATAAACCATATGACGAGGTACAAAATTAATTATGAATACTTAGTCCATCCTGATCTTTTGTTTTACTTTTACCTTGTTATGTAGAGAGACCATTTTTTTATTGCGAGAAGGGCACTGTTCAGGGGCGTAACTGGGTTGAATCATTACGGGGGCACCTGGAGGTGCAAAAAATGTTTTCAAGGGGGCATTGAAAGTAATTAAACTGCGGCTTGCCTTTCTCGTTTTTTTACTGATAAAGGATATATGGACGTAAATGCTATAGCTGTTATACTGAAACACAAACCACAGTGAATTACGCTCCCGATGTTACCAAATCTTACCAATAAAAAGTAAGACAACTGGATCGTTCTATTGTTATGATTTCCGGAAAAGATGTTTGTGCAGTCCGTTTTTTAGGGCAAGAATGAGAATAAATTTCAATGGAAAAAAAAGAGGAAACTTTTGAAAAACAGGAAAAAAAGATGTGGAAATCGGGCAAAAAGCCCCAAAACAGGCTGAATAAAAACGCAGAAATTTGGGCAACCGAAAAACAGGAATTCCTGTTTACAGGAAGATTGTCATGCCTGTAGGGAGCTACGGACTCCACTAGCCCAGGTTGGACTCCGTTGTGTACACGCGTAGTAGTTTTCCTTCGTTTTGAACGAACGTATAGTTCAACAGCATAGAAACTGCTCATCGCTCAATGAGAATTAAGCTCTGCACGATGCGCTCTTTTCAACTGTGACCGGTGTCTTTGTGAAAAATCATAAATATGCATGTTTCAAAAGAGCTCGTTCAAGAGATGCGTGAACACAGCAAAAATCGTGTAAAAGGGATCTGTGTGTTTGTTTGTTGGATTGCTTGTCAGGGTGTTTGTTGGGATGTTTGTTTGTTTGTTTATCTGTCTGTCATGGTGTTGGTCGGTCTGTTTGTCGGTCTATCTGTTTGTCGTTCTGTCTGCCCGTTGGGGTGTTTGGTTGTTCGTTTTTGATTTGCTGTTTTTGAACAGGTCGTTTCATGTATTATCTCTCCGACAATTGTATTTTGTGTTTTTGTTTTGTCCGTTTTTGAATGGTCTTTTTAATTTGTAAGGATTTTAGAATTTGTATAATATTTTATGTGTAACAAATATATTTAACGTATGACACCTGTAAGTGGCGGATAACCGCTGTTGGTTTCATTGAATAAATAATAAAAGCACGTGGCCACAGCGATGTGCATCATGATATAGGTTGGGATTTAGGAATTAAGCGGGCAAATACCATTTGTATGTAGGTTGGGTTGCATGGCTGCCGACACGACCCTACTACATGCATGACCATCGGAAATAATATTCGAATTGGTTTTTTCAAAATAAGTAATGAAATAATGTTTTAAAAAAATAGGATAACTACTAATGTTGATAACTGCTCCACGATTTGAAAGTATAGTTGACGAGGAATGCGTTTGGTGGTTGTTTCATGTTTTTCTGTGTTCAGCCTTACTTGATTTACCTGCACCTAACCCAAGACTGCACACTCTTCTGTTTCCTAATTTGGTCGGCGAAATTCATCTCAACCCAATAAACGTGTTTGGTGATCTTGTGAGAGACCCCCCTAAGTTATTCCAACTGACAGGAGAAACCTTCTATGACATACCCAAATCTCATTTCAATGTGAGCACCACACCCCAATATCAGGCAGAGATTTCTATAACCAACCCAAATCTCATTTGAATATGAACGCCACACCAAAATATCTTCAGACAATGTTTTCTATGACCAACCCAAAACCTTATCTGTATGTGAACACCAACCTAAATATTTTCAAACAGCGCTTTCTATGACCAACCCACAACTCATTCGATTGTGGACGCCATAAGCGAATATCTTCAGACAGCGCTTTCTGTGACCAACCCAAAACTCATTCGATTGTGGACGCCACACCCGAATATCTTGAGACAGTGCTTTATATAACGACCAACCCAAATCTCATTTGTATGTGAACACCAACCTGAAAATATTCTGACAGTGCTTTCTGTGACCAAGCCAATCTCATTTCAATTTGAACACCACCCTGAATATATTCAGACAGTGCTTTCTATGACCAACCCAAATTTCGTTTAAATGTGAACATCACACCCGAATATCTTCAGGCAGTACTTTCTATGACCAACCCAAATCTCAATTGAATGTGAACACCACACCCGAATATCTTCAGGCAGTGCTTTGCATGACCAACCCATATCTCATTTGTATGTGAACACCAGCCTGAAAATTTTCAGGCAGCGCTCTTTATGACAACCCAAAATTCATTCAATTGTGGACGCCACAACCGAATATCTTCAGACAGCGCTTTCTATGACCAACCCAATTCTCATTTGAATGTGAACACCAGCCTGAATATATTCAGGCAGTGCTTTGTATGACCAACCCAAATCTCATTTGTATGTGAACACCAGCCTGCAATATCTTCAAACATAATATCCTCAAACGGCACCTTCTATTACCATCTCAAATCTCATTGGAATATAAACACAAAAAGCACCTTATTGACGATAACCAAATCGGCTGTTTAAATTCAAGTAAGATCTATGGGCATCATGTCAGACAGTGGCCAGATACCTGAGCCAATGCTGAGCAAGTGTGACCTCTCCCAATCCTCTGAGAATACACATACAGCATAATTATCAAATTCATCTGCTCGCAATAATGCTGTCACTGGAATTATGAAAAAGACATAAAATCACAGAGGCCAAGGAATCGCTTTTTAATGTCATATTGATTTTGTAGTTGTTGGGGTTATTTGTTTCACTCCTTGTTTCCGACATTCAATATCTTCACATTTCCTTTTGTTTGGTTTCCCAGCGATTTTGTTTTCTCTTTCAACTGCTTCCCTTGCCTTGCTATTGGCATATGTTTCTTCATTCCTTTTTGTTAATTTCAATATTTCAAATGGGGGGCACCCGGGGGTGCTAGACTTTTCGGCTTTCAAAAAAAATGTAACCTCGTCCCCAGGGCATCGAGTAGTGCGCGCCCACCACTACCTGCTCTTTCACCTTGGTATTGAATCATTTGCATGTGCAATATGTTTGGACAAATAAGGAATAGTCTGATGCCTGCCCGTGTGTTACATTAGCGTTTGTTTTTGTATGCGGTGTCTGGGGTAAAATAGAATCAATTCGTCGCACCGTGAGTTACGAAAACAAGGTTGTTTTCGAAGTTAAAATGTTACAGTCTTATCCCGCTAATATGCAGTAGCACATGTCATATTAATATGAACACATTGGAAAGGAAAGAAGTATTTTTGAGAAGGCGTGGACGTTATCATTACAATGATTTTGAAAACATTCATTTCTAGCCAATTACGGTATCGAATCTGAATACAGGAAAAAAGTTTCCTTTCTAGGGCTTACTATTGGAAGCGAGGTTGGAAATAAAGTAAGCACTGGGGACGAGGTTGCCAAAAATGTCCCTTGATTCTTAGACAGAGCCTTTTTTTTTCAGAAATCCCACCAGACTAAAGTGCCCTAGCAGCTTAACCCTAGTCACGCCGCTACAACCCCGACTCCTCTGCCTCATTATTTGTGTTTATCATAGTACATGTATACTGAAAACAATAACTGAAATATTTCATATACCAATATTCCCGTGATAAACATACAATTCAAAATAGATCGGTTTGCACTTGTCAGGAAAAAGTTGGCGTCACGTGACCACAACATGTGAGTTTGTAAACACAGGTTATCAAATTGTCTAATGAGGGAAGGGACGTTCACCCCCAATGTCTTCCGTGGTATACCCATTTCTCTCTTTCTCTGGCGTACATACAAAGGCATTTCACATAATCGATATGTAGGCTTTTAAAACATTATTGCAAATTTTTCTAACCGTTTAAAACTGGCCACTTGACGGGCTCCCGACCAATAGGAATCGGTAAACTGTCTAAGGTATTTATGAATGTTAATTTCATGTATGTTTAGCAGTTGAAACTGCCGAGAGGATCATGAAATATGCCGAGAGGATCATGAAATGCTTTTTGTACATAAATTCGTATATAAACGTTTATAAACAGCGTGCGTCAAATCTTGCCCCCCCCCCCACCTTTCGAGTGCCTTTTCCCTCTAAAAAGTAAGCGCGGGGAAGTAATCGACGCCCATGGTAACCTGTTGAGTTTTTCTGACTTGTCAATCATCCTGAACTGCCATCTGTTCAATTGATTTTCATAACACGTGCCTTCATCGAAAACTTTGGTCTTTCTATATAAAGGGAGGGCAGGTAAAAGACGAATGGAAGGAATGGAAAGTATGATATATTCAATTATGTTTTGGGAATGTGGTCACTATATTATACAGCATTATTTTATCTTCTCACTATGTAAAACAAACATACATAAACCGTTAAAAAAATCTGTCTGCAATAATTGGAACTGAAACTAATGAAATTTATTGTGGAATCGCCTTCAATCAAAGAGCTGTCAACTGGATCTTTTTCCAACCACACTGCTCAAGAAGTGCACAGACACTCTGTTGCCAACCTAACGGAGATTATCAACTTATCCCTCACATCTGGGGTTGTTCCACGAAGTTTCAAACCTGCTCGCAATGTTCCTTTGATCAAAAATCCCAAGCTCGATCAAAACATCTTGAGTAGCTATCAACCAGTGTCACTCCTTAGTTTCATGTCTAAGCTACTGGAGAGATGTTGTATGCTGCAGCTGAAGGACTACTTCACATCAAATGATCCCTACGCAAAAGCTCAGTCTGCATATCGAGCTCATCATTTTATTGAGATGGCTGTACTGCGAGTCCAGAACGATGTTCTTCGCTCCATTGATGAGCACCAGGAAGCAGTTCTTATCTTACTCGACTTCAGCTCTGCATTCGATACGATCGACTATGCCATCTTACTTGATCGTCTGGAGCATCGGTTTGGTTCGACTGGGACGGCCCTGGAATGGTTCCAATCATAGCTTTGTGATCGTTCCCAATCCGTGGTTATTGGTGATGCTGAATCCGATGTACATCTAATACCATGGCGCGTACCACAAGACTCAGTATGCAGTGCTCCTATGTTCACTTTCTTCACTGCCCCTCTGCAGCTAGTAATGATCGGGGAGTCACTGGTCGATTTCTGCGATGAGGCACGTAACCTTGGTGTAATCTTTGACAGTGATCTACGCTTAAGGACCCATGTCAGTAACATATGTCGAGTGGGATGAGCATTCCTCCACAAGATTGGCAAGATTCGGAATTATCTCAACAAATCTGCTACAGAGAAACTACTGCATGCATTCATCACCTCGAGAATTAATAGCTGCAACAACCTTCTCATTGGCCTCCCGACCAATGAGATACAGGGACTGCAACGTCTGCAAAATGCCGAAGCGAATACATAACCCCAATCCTACAATCACTTCATTGGCTCCCAGTGTCACAGCGAATCATCTACAAAACTCTCATCCTCACATTTAAAGCAGTGCACGGACTGGCACTATCCTACTTACAGGAGCTGGTACATTGTTATCGGCCCACTCGCCAACTACGGTCTGCATCGCTCATGATGTTGCAGGCACCCTCTGCACCTCCACGCACCTTCACGTACGGTGGCAGAGCATTCAGTGCTGCCGCTCCCTCTCTCTGGAACAATTTGCCATCATGTGTCAGGAACTCGATGACACTTGATTTGGTCAAGAGTCGTCTAAAGACTCATCTTTTTAAACGGTATTTTGCAGTGAATTAGTAGTATTATTGGTGTTTTCCATGTACAAAGGTTTTATCGTTGTATTTTATTGGCAAATACCTTTTTATTCCTGTTTTTATCTAGTATGTTTGCTTGAGTGTTGTAAATCGCTTTTTAAAGTTTAGATTGTAGGCCACCCATGCAGCTGTTTGAGTTGTCTTTGTATTGTCTTAAGGTTCTATTGGAATTAGTTTTTTTAACTTAAATGATACAGTTTGTGTGTTTATTCTTTGTTTAAACGCCTTAAAGTAGATTTGTCTGTGTGTGTCTGCGCTTTATAAATTTCTCTATTATTATTATTATTATTATTAAATTGTGTTGTTCCCTACAAGAAAGTGGTTTGATCCACAGCAGTTTTGCCGCAAGCCCGTTAAGTGCTTTACATTGACTCCGTGTTGGGAAGCTTAGCGAGGGCCTTTGTTGCCAAAAAGAGAGGAGTACGTGATTGAATGGCTATTCCGTCTGACGACCATAATTCGTTCAGTTGAAACGCCGAGTCACGGAAAGTTGAGTTACAAATGCAGCATTTCATTGGCTCGTCTTTGTTATGACCCCTCTTAACCCGAATCACCGACAATTTGTGGGTTGTCTAAAACGAAAGAACGCTACTGGAACGGAAGGTTTTTTTGTGACGAAGTACAGGGACGGTGAAGTACGGATTGAAAGCCGCCTGTAAAAAGGAGAAACTTCATTGTTGGCCTTCGCACGGAATGTATTGTGCTTCGTTATACCTTTCGGTATTTATTGAACATAAGCCGAATGGCCTTCGAGTCTCTGCGAAATGAATAAATCATTGTGGAATTTTTTTTCGAATTTAATTATTTCTGCACAATGTGGACGCCATTTTGAAGTTGGGCATACATGGTTACAACTCAAGTCAATGCATGAATCGGCAGGATTTTGTGTAAAAGTACACTAACAATAAACTTACGGATTCAAAGCCGCCATACTTCATTGACATGTAAAAACAGGTAAACCTCATTGTTGGCCTTCGCACGGAATGTATTGTGCTACGTTATACCTATCGGTATTTATAGAACATAAGCCGAATGGCCTTCGGGTCTCTGCAAAATGAATAAATCATACATGTTTTTTTTTTCGAATTTAATTATTTCTGCACATGGTGGACGCCATTTTGAAGTTGGGCCATACCTTTAAAGCGTAGTTTAACAGGGCGTCGTATTCATTGAGAGGATCTGCCAAATCGTGATAAAAAATGTATCGTCAACATTTGTAATGTTGTCATTGGAAATCTATTTGCTAACGTCGTTTATGCGGCACAGTTTCATCCTGTTGTGTATTTAAATGAAGTAGTTTATTTAAATGGAAAATTGATCATCTCCAAGTTCTTCCCACAATAACTGTGTTAAACCAGAATGTTGCCCCAAGTTTTTGTCTACCAGATCGCAAAATACCCCAAAAAATACATCGATCGGACGTGTAGTTCTGTTGGCCTTTGAAGATCGCACCTTTAGGGTCATGTAACGTGACACATGAAAGCCTGAATATAAACGTTACTACTAATTTTACCTATAATTTATCACTGGCTACAATCGTACTTGCTTTCAACTTCATCGGATTCACGTGGTCTCACGTGACCGATGATGACGTCATCTTCTTGAAAGTAAAATGTCTTCTATAACATTTCCTTGACTGAAAGCATGTACACTTTGACCAAATTGGACATGCAGTTGCAGCGATAAAATGTCATGATAGTATATATTCACAAATTAATAGTAAATGGCGCGATGACGTCATCCGGACGTCATTTCATTTGATATCATTCTCTGCAACACTAGGATTAAACCACCAATTGAGGTAATGATCAAATGTTGTCTAATATAAAAATCAGAAAATCGCATTGGGACAGGCTTGCCTACAGTGTAATTTTATAGTACAACAAGATTGCTAAGTTAATAAATTCATGATTCTGTAGTTTTCCAATGTCCTGAATACCAACAACTGCCGTGTTGACGATGATCTGTAAAAGAAAGCAATGTGCATTGCCAAACATGGTTGCACTTTAACGCATTTGCAAGTGTTGCAAATAACAAATTAAAATCTGAATTTATTAAATGACGCTCTTTTTCTCTCAATTCGGACTATTTGAACCTATTTTGCTTTCGAATTAGAGAAACTTTTGACTGTAGAATGTTGTTTTCGTTTTTAACTACTGAACCTTCGGACAAATGAGCCTTCGGATTATGGAGCCTTCGGACTAACGAATCTGCGGACTATCGCATCAGCGATCGGATTAACGAACCTTATTTCATTTTCCGCCTAATGCACCCCCGTTATGGGCAATATGTGTTCGGACTCGAACCAGCGGATCAGTAAACCTTCGGACTATAGGGTGGACCCCTATGGATCAATGTACACAATGAACCATGACGTCGATACTGAAGAGGTGCCCAAATTTCGTTGCGACGTCGTCACTTTAGACCCAACGTTTATCCCACGTTGTTTTACTGACGTTGGATCGATATATAAACATTCAATCTAGAGGTTAAAGGAGATATACACGTGGATATTTCAGATGATGTATTAACATTGGTCAGGCGTACATTGCAAAACACTACGATGTACACCATTTGGACAACACCAGATGGTCCTACATAGATACCAATGGTGTTAAATGAACACCATAGTTTTGGCAGAGAAGCCTCCTCAACAACGCCCACCTTATAATTATTCCTTGAGATGTCAGAAGTTTGATCAGGAATTCCATATAGAAGTCTTTGGACTTGAACTATATTGGCCTTCTTTTCCCCTGTAGTGTTGCTCCTGACTAAACAAGGTCCCAACATTTGTGACACTGAACAGTGCAAGCAATCTGGTGAGTGCAATAGTAAAGTTAATCTTTAATTATTATATTCTTTAAAATAGTTAGTCAAATCCAGCATGCGAAAGCGTAAATCCAGGGGGTAGGGAGCAGGATTTATCCACCCACTTTTAACCATTGGGAATGGGCTCAGTAAGTTGAATTAGTTATTCCATATAGAAATCTTAGAACATAAAGTTTATTTGGCCTTCTTTTCCCCTTTAGTGTTGTATCCAACTAAACCCGGTCTCATCAAAAGTAGCACTGAACAGACCAACCAACCTGGTGAGTGCAATAGTAAGCTTTTATGATTCTTTAAAATATTTCTCAAATCTACATACAGAGGCGTAAACCCGGGGGCGTGGTGAGTGGGGTTTATTCCCCCACTTTTAACCATTTGGGATTGGTCTTTGAGTCATAGCACTTAAAACGGAGGACAAACAGCACAAATGTTTGTTTTCATGCTACTTCGCTGCGCTCATTATACGCATGAAAAACATGGTGTGCACCATTTGGACGACACTAGATGGTCCTAGATACCAATGGTATGAACACCATAGTTTTTGCAGCGTAGCCTCCTCAATAAGGCCCACCGTATAATTTTTCCATAAACTATATTGGCCTTCTTTTCCCCTGTAGTGGTGCTCCCGACTAAACCAAGTCCCATCATTTGCGACACTGAACAGTGCAACCAATCTGGTGAGTGCAAAAGTGAAGTTAGTCTTTATTATTGAAATAAAATATTTCTCAAATCCAGCTTACAAAGGGATGATTTTGGAGCGTGGTGAGCGGGATTTATCCCCCCACTTTTAACCATTGGGAATGAGCATTTGAGTCATAGCACTGAAAACGGAGAACGAACAGCACAGATGTTTGTTTTCATGCTACTTCACTGCGCTCATACGCAGTTTGAAAAACAGTTTGGTTTAATACGCCGACACAGCTAAATAACACAAGGAACAATAATATCCAGTACAAAATATAGAGAAACATTAATTATATTCGGACAGCATGGGATGTAGGCTTGCATGCACAATGATGCAAGCTGAAAAAAAACCCGTAAAATTAATGTGTGTACCTCGAAAAAGGCCTTGCAAGCTCCTTCGCTTCCAGTTTATTTTTGTGTTCTCTTATGGAACTGGACTCCTATTATAAGGCGTTGCAATATCATTGAACCCTTAATTTTCTGAAAAACTGAAGCTGTATCAGACGCGCGTCCTTCTCCGGTCAACATCATAGATATAGAATAAAAAGACAACATAGTCTAGTCTATCAGCAATCTTAGGAAAGATCTAGGGAAACAGCGTGGTGTACGGCAGCGTTCAGCATGTGTGCATGAGCCTGAAGTGAGAAGCGGGTTTTTTTTTCAGACAAAGCTTAACTACCTAAATGGTTCTGTTGTTACCAAAGGATATGTAGAGATGCAACTGCATTTACGCAGCAGAAGAAATTTGGTCTTTGTGCTAAACCAAACTACACACGTAATGATGTCTTGATGTATTGTAAGCGCGCCAGTTTGTACATCATTTGGTATCACAAACGCTTCTTTTTTTCCCAACGGGAAAAAGACAAGACGTACCTCCTAAATAATATAATTGATTAATTATTGGTTCCTAATTTGCTAATGACTAACTGACTATCTTTGTGATTGACTGATTATACTGTCTTAAATGACTGTGTGATTATTTGGGGGAATAACAGACTGGTTATTATTATTTCAGCCTCCAATATTCTGAGAAACATGGATAAGACCCAAGACCCGTGCCATAACTTCTTTGAGTACGCATGCGGAGGATGGAATCAACGCCAAGTGATTCCCAACAACACACTTGAAGTTACCAGATTCTCCGAACTAGATGACGACTTGAAAGGAAAGCTGAAAGGTATGATATCTTTCAGTTTCTCAATACTAATTCCCCCCCCCCAAAAAAAAAGCCAGGTGTGCAAGCCAAAATTTCAGACTAGTCTCCTGAAATGAACATCTGCACTTTTCAACCCATTCTTAACCTTTACCCTTGACTATTTGACATAGGCCTACATGTTTAAAGTGATCACAATTACTAATGAATGCCAATACCAAAAAAGATGTAGATTGATTACAATCTATTAAATGCTGGTTTTAAAACTGTACCTTCCAAAAGCGAATAAGTATTAATCATTGATACCAATCGCTTGTACAATAATACGCATGTGGTCAATAAACTACCGAAAAGGGAAACAAAAATCTAAACTCTGGTCTTTGTCAACAATAAATATTTGATGTCAGTTTCCTTTATTTTACTTTATTTTATTTAATTCCTCTTTCAACGGATGGATTTATTACGTGGACACAATGATATATAAAAGACTTGACATGGGTCACGCCTACGTGGCGATCAGTTGATTTGAGTGATACGTACACCATGAGCAACGTCATGCGGCACCATTACCATTTGTTAAATAAAACAGCCTCGACATTTCACCAATGTCGGCCTTTTTTTGACATTTTGTTACACGCATTTTCATTTCCTTAACCCAATCAGAACTGATCGAGCGAAAACCACTGCTAAACGAGCCGGAGTCCTTCGACAAAGTGAGGAAGTTCTACAATGCCTGCCTTGACCTAGGTATTGGATAAAGATATCACTGTCAATCGTTCACCGTGCATGATGCTATACATCATCATCAGCTTTTATGCATGTACAGGCAATGTCCCTTAAAAAAAATTAAAGGTTCAACTTTAACTTTTAACATTTCCATTGCGCTCAAAATTTCGCCGTACCTTTTCTACATGCCATACCTCATAAAGTTTGTCTCAAAGGGTTCATGTGCTCAATTTTTCTGATGAACACATTTTGTGCAACTTTCTACTCCTCTTCAATGTATGTAAACTAATGCATCCTTTTTTTCGGGGGTTAATTTTACGGAAATGTGTACTCTTTGAAGCATCACATTTTGCCGTGCATTTTCCGGACAACTGAGTGTGCTGTTGCTGTGACGTCACTACTTGAAGACACTGTTCAGTATATGAGGTTTTCTGTTCAAATTGTGAACCCAAACATGTGTTCATTGAAAAACCTCAAATCTCAGTTTTGCTCATGAATAAGGACATTTGCATCGGGTATAAAAACCGAAAAGGTATCAAAATGTCTTTAGGGTATAGCAAAACCAAAATTGAAAATAAGGTTAAAAGGGACACAAAGGTGCATTTCCTAGGATTGTAATAAAAACAATACAATGCATGTCCCTTTAACGGAAACGTTGTTCAAGTTGTATTGTTGGTTTTTGTCACTCTTCAACAGATACCATCAACGGCCTAGGAGCCCGACCGCTCACGGACACATTGCAGTCCCTTGGCGGATGGCCAGTCCTTGGGTCAAACCCCGGAGGCAGCTGGAGTCAGTATTCTTATAACTTTGAGAGTTTGTGGGCGACTCTTAGGTCCCAGTATAACATAGATGCGGTCATATCGACTGGAGTGCAAATCGATCTAGAAAACACCAGAAACTACATTCTCCAGGTGATAAACGAAATTCATTGTATGGACATAATGTTATATCACTTGAAGAAATTACCTATTTTGTTGGCAAATCAGCTTAAATGCCATACTTTAATTAACTAAAACAAGAGCTTCTTAAAAGAACATCAAATCTGTCCAAAAAAAATTTCATCTGAAGTAAAAAAATAAAAATTAAAAAAAGTCATTCTGAATTATTGGACAGTGTATCTCTTGAAGAAATGTTATAACAACTTTATTTAACCCTTATCCTTCCAAAACCACATTCAAATTTCTTTAATGTCATATAAAATCGTTTAAACCTCTGTAACTCTGATTACATTGATTTAATTGATCCTTAGTACTTTCTTACATTAAGGGTAAGGTCAACGCCAGAAGATAATGTCTTGCAGCACGAACTCATTATGACACATAATTATTGAGATAATTAGGTATACAAATCAGACCAGTCAAGCATTGTATTAGAATGGTCCAAGAAAGCACAATTTCCATTCAGTTGATTCAGCAAAGTTAGTTCACTGAAGGTCTTTTCATGCATCTGATCCGTCAAAGAATGGACCGGATTTAACCCATTTATTGACGTTAATCCTATACGATAGCACTGCAGCCCGACACCCGTCTACAACCCAACACCCGTCTACAACCAGTCTTAGTCGGAAGTGGCAGTCAGTCAAACAGTGAATCAGTCAGTGAGATAGGTGCAAAGAAATACTATATTCTGGCCTTCTGGGATAATCATGTATGATAGAATTGCTGGCCCTCTTCACCAGTCTTCAACCAGTCTTAAACACTATTAAGCAGTCAGTCAATCAGTGAGTCGGGCACTGAGGTATAAAGATAATACTAAGCTGCCAACATATTATAATGAAAGAGTCATCCTATTTTGTAGACGTCATGAAAATTAAGAGTTTCTTCACTAATCTGACTATTTTGTCGTATCCATGATAGATCGATTTTCCAGAATTTACCGTGCCTCTTCAATTCCGTGCAAATAGACAGAAACGGCTCGCCTCTTTGGTAAGTCCAATCAACTATTAGATCCGTTTTCAATGTATGTTACTTCCAATTTTGATTGTGATGAAACACTGAATTTTGAAGGAGTTCGCTTGCACAACATTATGCACGAAATGTCTAAAGCGTATGGTAACCGTGTTACGATATTTGGATGCGCACAATGCATTGCAATAGTTGGAAGAACGTTTTGACGATCCACGGAAGAAAATATAATAAAGCAACACTACACTTTGAAATCTCGTATCTAAATAGAGTGCAGTTCATAGTATATTTCCAAAATGTGAAACTTATTCATCTAGTACGTAATTTTGGGCAAAACTCCCGTGAGAAGGCTTGCTGGAATACTCATATCTAACTGCTAAAATTGTTATGGGTGCCTCTAGTAAGAACGTAAGAACTTGTAATATAATTGTTAAGTGGTACATTATACTTTTTTTGGTTCCAGCGTGTGATTTGATGCATTAGACATCAAATTAAGAGTTCCTGTGTATTTCACTTTCAGAGTTCTCTAGTGATGTCGGGGTTTTCATTTTATTTTTGCTTTGATAGGTTCCCGAGTCTTTTTCTAAAGACTTTGGCCGACATTTGCTCCTGCTGGATGAACTTGAAGATGTAAGTTTATGAAACCTTTTCCGTTTTTACTTTCCTAGTCTTGCTGTTGCATGCCTTGATGGTCTTTCTGTCAATGTCAATCTGTCAATCTGCGAGTGTTAAAGGGATCTAATTAAGCATCCTGTAAAATTATGGCACCTGGTGTGAAGTCATTTTCAAGAAATGGTATTTTTGTATACATTTCCAACAGTGGTCAGCTGACCACCGTTGGAAAAACCTAACTGCTGCTCCAAATTTACCATTTGTTTCAGTCCAAATTGTGTTTGCTATTGGTTACATGTTCATGAACGGGTGCAGGCCAGCTAGACTGGTTTCTTTACCTTACAATTTCTGGCATCTATAAATGATTAATCCATTTCATCTTTAGTGGAGTCAGGGAACCAGACTACGTGAACATTTTTGTTTTTCTTGGTTTTTCCAGCATTTTCGAACACAACACTTCAAACATTTCAGTGTAACAATATATATTATACTAACCCTTCAACTAGTTCATTTCTGAAAATTACAGCGAAAGCCAATGATGTACATTCCCTTTAATTGAGGCTTTTGTGGCAGTATTTTTTCCTTTTGTTATATTATTATTTCTTTCTGGTAATAAAACCAATGATTCCTTTAATTTTCTCAAAGATGTCTTATATGCACTGTAGCCCGAAAGCATGACGAAACCTGTAGAGAGGAGACTATAAGAAGAAATTACAGTTTTAGAGTTGGGAGGAAAACCCCTGAAGAATATTTTTTGGGGGGGGGGGATCGGGTAGGGACTGAAAACTCATCCGCAGGTGCTCCGGGCAGGAATCGAACCCAGGCCATAGCGGTGGAAGGCGAGGAAAGTACCCACTGACCCCTGACTTCAAGGAAGCTTTGCAGTGAATATTTATTTAAAGAAATTTAGAGGTATAATACTTGAGCTAAACGGTTGCCTTCTGAGTTTCTGCTGGGCATGCCACTCTTTTCTAGGGTTCTCCCCTCAGAAATGGCTACCGGGCGGGCGGGCTATCACCTTCACCCGTCTCCCGGCCTGATTTTCCCCGTGTTGTTATTCCCCCAGCTCGATCACTTGGATCTTGGCTTTCGTCAATAACGATCTCCCCTATTTTTCATTTTTGAAAATAAATAGAAACGAGCAGCTTACCTGCAGTACATGATCGACATTGCTGTGGCTCTGGGCGGAGACCAAAGCGAGGTCGCTAGAGACATGAACGACGCGTTCGAGTTTGAGAAGACACTCGCACAGGTAGGAGATACAGCCCACAAGTGTTGCGTCAAACAATGCATGTCCACATAATTAATTGAATTGCTGTCATCAAGGATTATACCCAAGCAATATCATATCAAATGCTCAACGAGCAATTACTCGAAAAAATTATAACCGAAGCTGTATTGATGCATTCTTTGGTATATGGACGTGAAACTCTCATTACATTTTGACTATTAGAAAATTAAGTACTCGCACGTGAACAGTCAAACCAAGCCTTTATTGCCACCATCATAGTAGTATATAATAAGGGAATAAATATGTGCTTGGCCGGTTTTTAACACGTACGTTGAAAACTGTCTAGGGGCTTGGACGCGGATAATGGCCACAGGCCAGTTTTAAGTATATCAGCCCTGTGCTTGTTTAATACCGGCCAAGTACGTATGTATTCCCTTTCGTTAATACCTGTCGGTCAAGTCAAAACAAGTTTTAAAAAAATTAATTTCCAACGAATTTGTTGAATAATTTTGCTTCATGTCTTGTTAAGCATCCCTCTATAGCTATGTTTATCGTATGTGCCTGGCGCGAGTAGTCAAGAATCTCCCGAAATGGAGATTCGCGTGTGCGTCGCGCGTACTGCGTGATGTGATGCACACTGCAGCGGTGCAGGTGAAGTGTGAATTTAGGGGTTTGATACGAACTCATTGGTAGTATTTGTAAGTGAAAATATTTAGGATTACATGTTGGCGTTCAACCAATTAAAGGGTAAAGGGACCAGATTTCATAGAAGTCCAAATCGCATATGACACCAGGAAAAAAGGTTCAAAAATTGCCAGTCGGTGTTATATCAATCATTTAAAACAACCCAGGTTAAGGGCTCTCGACCTATGGCAATGGGTAAACTGTCAAGTATTTATGAATGACAGTGAAAACAAACGGGTTTGGGCAAAGAATATAACTCCGTACTGGTAAAAGCATAGGCCATTGTATCTGTTGCAGTTAATTGTTTCTTTTCAATCTTGTCCTGGAAAATAAACGTAACAATGTGTGTTAAACTCTCAACAGCACGCCGAGGATGCCATTAGCGACGACTCTGATCTACCTGTAACCAAAACTCTGAGCAACCTTCAAATAATCTACAGTGAGGTATACCACTAAAAATACAACGTAATATAAAAAAAAGTTGTACTACATTTTCACTTTTGTTGTCTTGTTCATGGTCCAGAAAAAAAGTCGTAAGGAAGTCATCAAGCTAATCAGAAGTTAATCCAAAGGCATGCAGTCTACAGTCGACCCACAACGTAACGAAATCTGTGTTTGAAAAACACATTGTTGTCATTCTCGTTACCTCGTGATCAATTCCAAGATTAACTCTTGATTGAGTCGATTAGAACTCTTTTGAGTATGAAAAGATATGTCCGTAGGTAGAACCAGATTCCATCGGCTGCTTTTCTGCATTTGACTTTGGCCATCCCATTCGGTAGACCGTTAAATATATGTACCTTGACTAGCTTGATACCTGGAAGACGCTTTCACCAAAAAAAATTGGCTCATGTAAACTATTATGGCCTTTGAAAGATAGCTTTATCATAATCGGAGCCGCGTCACGTTCATACATAGACCCCTACATTTAATTTGTGCCGTATTTCGATTTAGCAAAGTACAAGGTCATGTGACTTGACGTCTCATTTCATTTCTACGTTTCAGGTCAACTGGGCAAGTCTGTTTCGCTTACTTATGCCATCAAGCGTGTATCCACCTGTTTCAAGTTACGACAATATTTTAGTCATGTCACCATCTTACCTTAGGAGTGTTGCTGGATTGTTGAGGACGAAGGGACACAGGTAAGTTGAATAACGATATGGTCTTCATAAATATGATATTGCATAACGCTGAAACACGTTTTGAACCCTTATTGACACTGTGTCGTAAATCAACAATGTGTCGCACCCTATTACTGTTAATATGACACTAGTAACAAGGTCATAATTTGACACAGCAAGATTTTCAGTTAACACAATCCATAGATACTTAATGTTTTCTTATGTCTTTCTTGGTCATTTAATACCAAATATAAGTTCTTTTGAATTACAGCATGACTTTGGGGTTAAGGAGTCCTTTTCATTATTGTAAAATTCTTAATTTTACTAAAGGTTTTCCCGGCCAATTTCACCAAGTATTCATTCAATTTAACGCCTGGCTCATTCGTTTTAGATTGAAAATGAAAGATCACGCAGATCCGCATTCGACAATCAAAAAGGATCATTCAATTTCACTATCCGAGCATTCTATCGCCTTTTAGCTTCACTCGTCCCTATCAAAGATGCATTCATATTAAAAGTATCGCGTTGTTCATTCAATTGCGTCTATTAACCCAGCAGTAAGGGACTGATCGGGCATTCGTATTCATTAATGGGCATACATATTTCACATTTTGTCGAACATCTTTTAAGACTTCATACGTGTCCGTATTCCTTAGCGTAAATCATATTTGATGTCTTCAATCCGTACATGCCTTTCTTTCTTAATTCAATGGTATGTGCAATGAAGTTTTCTCAGGAATTCTTTTTGTGCAATTCTTTGCTACTGTGAGATGCAAAAAAAACTACTCATTTAGACAACATTTTTGATTAATCTTATTGCAAAAGTGCACCTCTTTAAACATTTAAAAGTGTCTATGCTTTTCCGGACTACGTATGAACGCGCTGTTACTGCGATGTCATTTTCAGGAAGAAACTGTTCAGTTTAGGGGGATTTCTTTGAAGTTTTCATCCTAAATTTGCTAACTGAAAACATTTGTGGGAAAGGGTTGCTCATTGGCTTACTGCCATGTACTGAATCATCAAAGAATCACCAATAAAACAAATTTATGACAGCAAATATCCAAAATTCTAAAAATTGTTTGTGCTGAAATAGCCATTTAACATCAATCATGACCGGAATGCCATCACAGGTTTTATAATGAACATGAATCTTTGCATTAGCATAAAAACGGAAAAGGCCCCAAAAACACCCTACAAAATGAAAATAAAACTTGCAAATAAAATTAAATGTCACACAAAGATGTATTTTCAAGGTTTGCATTGAAAACTTACTTTGCATGGGTTCTTTTAATACGGTAAGTGTTCGATCAGACATACGCAAGAAAACTTTTAAAAAAATAACGCAAGAGAAGTGTTCCCGATTGTACAACGATTGCCAAATATACGTGTCCCGATGTGCAAGTAGAAAAGATCAACAGTGAAAAAAAATTATCTTAGTCCCTTTCAATTATTTTTTTCGTTACATCTTGTTTCTCTCATATCAGTTTAACTTGTAACATGGTAAATCTTAAAGTCATCAAGTTTTTTTGAACCTCGGAGGAAAATAGGAAAATATATCGATTAGAACATCTTACTTGTTTAAATGACCAAACGATGAAAGCGCTTGTCCGTAAACGAATAAGAAACGAAAATCATGGTTATACGTTATAAGCACACAGATGTTCGCCAATTTGAATGCGTTGCAAATTAAGTCTTGAAATGTACAAAAACGAAATAGGAACATTCAGAGCAAAATCTTGGCTGCCTTAAAATTAACTTGAATGAACCCAAAATGAAAAAAAAAAAACAATTCGACCACATGTGCAAATCTCACGCCAAACCACCCTCTCCCCCGGACTTTTACAAGAATACGAACATGCAGGAATTTCTTAAAAGATGCTTATAAAAATGTGGAATACGTTTGCCCATTAATGAAAATGAATGCCCGATCAACCCCTCACTGCTGGTTCAGACGAAATCGAATGAACAATACGATACTTTAAATTTGAAAATTTGAAAAAGCCCCCCCCCCCCCCCCCCCCCCGCTTTGTGATTTTACGGAGGGCCCGGAGAAAAAAAAAACATGTCTACATTTCGGCGCGGATGTGCGGTTTCCCCCCCCCCCCCCCCCCCCGATATCAAAAGCTGGATACGCTGCTGATGGGCTTGCCATGTCTTGTCTACAAATAAACTATTACTGGAAGTACACTTTGATTAAAACTGTATATATTTCTTGTGTATAACTCAGAGTGGTAGCCAACTATATGATCTGGCGACTTGTGAACAAGATGGTGCCCTTTCTTGGAGAGGAGTATGTGGCCATCCATCAGAAATACCTGAAGGCTATTCTCGGGATCTCTGCAGCTCCAGATCGATGGAAGCTCTGTACTGAGCAGGTTAACACCGTGCTACCATTTGCTACTGGGAGGATGTACGTGGACGAGTACTTCTCTACAGACACCAAGACGAAGGTAGGGCCTGCAGTGAACATGCACGTGCAGCAACAACGACAACAAAATCACTAGCAACAACATTAACAATAGGGACATCATAAACACCAAATGACATAATACACCTAAGCCCGCATGCACCACCTCTCTACATCATACCATAGAAAGTAAAAACATAATCAACTACATCCATCAGAACAGGCAAAGACATTCAGCATATAAAGCGGCAGTAAAAACATATTAACGAAACCAATAACAGTATTCAGCAGCGGAAGCAACAACACAATTCAGCATCATCCTCGCTAGCCAGGGTATAGTCTTATACGTACGTCTTATGACATCCTACCGAACCGACTCCACGTGTTTGTTATTTTCATGTATTCTCCGAAGAAACGCTCAACACTTCGTTCGTATACGTACACAACGGTCTCCATATTTTGTGTTGCCTAAAAATTGCACCATCGGCTCATGTAATTGTGCCCCGTAACCCAGCTCCAGAAAAATGACCTTAAAGATCAAGAATCATGAAGTTTCACAATGTCTACGCATGCAACGATTGTCAAAACAGACATAAGTGGACTAAGTTTGCAAGGGTAGTCCCACAATGTTTAAGAGTAAGAGTATCATGTACAACGAGAATGTTAAGCAGCGGAAGCAGTACAGCTTGATTCAACAGGAGCAGTGGTAGACGCAGCAAAGCGAAGCGGAAAGAAAATAACACAACAAACAAGGCCAATCTATAAGCACAATTCTGGAAGCTACTACGGTTATATAATTTCTTACGACACTTTTTAATGGTTTCTTTGTTTTATGTTGTGTTTTAGACAGAGGAGATGGTCGGTCAACTGCGGAGAGCACTGAGAGCCATGTTTGGGTCAGTCCGTTGGTTGTCGTACAGCGACAGGACTAAAGCCCGGCAAAAGGTCTGTGTTGCATGGCCTTTCTCTATTGCCAAGGGATCAAACTATAGGACTGCCGCTTCTAAAAACTTTTATTTGAAACCTTCATCACTTAGAGTTTCCGGCACACTAAAATATAAAATACATGTCATTTAAGCTGGGGTTAATGAGATGGGAAAACTCCATGGAGACGGTTTAAACAAATCGCGACAAATGAGTTTTGAAAAAAAAGGATGTAAATTACAGCGGACAAATTGCAGGTATAAATAAATAATAATTCACTCTATCAACTTAATAACTCATTCTGCCTGGATATCTTTAGTTCTTTAGAAAACAAAATCTACCTATAACTGCTGGCAATGGAAAAGTTGTCAATTGAAGGCACCCGGACTAACAGTAAGTTCAGACAATGGGGTATATTGATAAGAATGCCAGAAACGCGTAGTCTGTATTTGCTTGTACTTTGCCGTTATATTTCATTATATTTTTTGTTTTACTTGTTTGTATGTGATTATTCCTCGCTCCAGCTTGATGCAATGGGAGTCAGCGTTGGCTATCCAGATTGGCTGAAAGTGAATTACTTACTAGATGCTCAATCTGCTGATGTATGTATAGTTTGTGTATTCACACTTATTGATACTTATGCTGTGTTTATTTAATCGGCCATATTGGCAGGTTTATCATAATTAAACTTTGGTTCAGCTTAAATCAAAACGAAAGAACATTTTGTTTATAGTTATTGATTTAAATGACAAGGTTTGCTATAACCATTCCCATCAATGCCAACAATAATTTTCCAACTGAAATAACACAGAATAAATTTATCGTTCGCGTTTGTTTATGGTGTAAATCGAGAACACACACGGGCAACATCATCGGTGAATCGAGGACGGGAACCAAATCGAGGACGACCTCGATTAGAAAACATGTACAAAACGTGTACAATGAGAGCTGCGGCTCAAGGGAAAAGGGAAGAGGAACAAAAGAAAATCGATTCACACCATAAACAAACGTGTCTGTTCGGGCAGGCGTACTTTGCTCGCTACACGTAACTAAAGTTCTGTAAAAAAAAAAATTAAGAAAAATGTGGACACAACAACATTATCAACGTTCTCTTTTTGTCGCAGTTGGTCGTCACAACAAACTCATACTTCACCAATGTTGTCAACTACGGCAGGCGAGTTGCACAGACCCAACTCGGCCGACTGCGACTTCCCGTTGATAAGTCCTTGTAAGTATTGCAAAGAAATCAAACACAATATAGGTACATCAACGAATAAACCCATAAAGACTCACAAATTCTATAGGGTTGCAATCACATTATTTTTAACGAGTGACAATATTTCACTTTTTTTATGAGGTCCATTACATATCATCAAAGTTACAAATACATAAAACCGGACTGGCCATTATGTAATTTAAGAGGCAATTTTCTCTCCTAATTTTGTCATAAGCATCAGCCGCTGGTATATGTAGGTTAAAATACTGCTGGTGTCATATGAAAATCCGACTCCTATGAAAATCGGACTCCTTTTCCCTGTTTTTGGTTAATCCCTCGCACGTGACCAGTCACTATCGTAATTATCATACTTGTGCATGCAAAATACAAAGAGTCCATATTTCATGGAGTCGGGTATTCATGCTACACCTGTATTGTCTGGTTATCGGGTTTCTTTTGTTCAGTTACGCAGGATGGGTTTGGCCAGACCCCGGGCGGGTTAAAATGTTATACATTGTATACAAGTTGTTCACGCTGTTGTAAGTTGTCTAGCCAGGTGGGTGGGGGGGGGGGGGGGAAATACGAGATTGACTTCAGTGAGTGAGAATCGAGAAAAGTTGCTGTTGCTGGTGGAGTTTCATAAATCAGTGTGTTTCATATTGCACGTATTGAGTGCGTTTGTTTTCTGTTTGCATAAAAGGCGCTCGGCGATGAAACGAACAAGAACTTTAAGTGTAACAAACAAGAAAAGGAAATTCACTATAATAAACTATAAACGAATGCATATTGGCACAGAATACAAGGCTGGAAAGTTTGTCTGTGGACGTAACGCAACCAATTTCGAGGAGGCTTGTGTTTGTGGATATTTGCTGTTCAGCCTATACCAACACTGTCTATTGTGATTTGTATCCAACTTTGTGCGGTTATTACAGGTGGGACGATAGCGGACCTGCTGTGATCAATGCGCACTACAGCCTTTTTGAAAATGGAATAGGTACGTTGCCTAAACATTACTTTTGCAAGCAATGCGAAATGTCCATACATGTTGACACCTGTTGCAATCATATATGTTAATCTAATAAGCTGTTTTCTTCTCTTTTTTCCCCCTTAGTAATACCGGCTGGTATCCTCCAACCACCATTTTATCATGCCAACATGCCGTGGTATGTATTTCTACAAAATTAAGAAAAAAAGAGCAGCCTTTTCATTCCGAATTTTAGGGGACTCAATTCTTTACCAAGAGGGATACAGCTCTACGCGATAATGATATTTAGGTTACATTTTGTACAGTTTTACGTATAGGCCATCTTTATATGTCATCATCGGAACACAAATTTCAGATATTGGTTTGATAAAAGTTACAGGAGATTTTCAACAAAAAGGCAGTTAAATGGCCAATGTTTAACTATATTTAACTGGCAGTGGCCATCGTCTTTAAATTCTATTGTCCCTCTTATTAAATATTTTATTTAAGTTTACTTCACAAGGAAACATATTTTATATGTTTTTGTATATATATTTTTGTACACTCTCGATACAGGTACTCGAATTTTGGTGGCGTAGGCGTAGTGCTGGGGCACGAGATAACACATGGTTTTGACAGCACTGGTATGGTCAAAAGTACTTTAAAGAGCTTCGAGTAGAGTTGGATTTAATTCGCAGTGGGATTTGTATTTTCTAGCACCATGGCCCGTTTGGCAATGCTCCTGATTGTATGAGACTGCAGCAAAGACTCGAGAATAATGAAATAAGTATAATAGGCACTCTTGCCTCTTGCCTTTTGGCAAGGCCATCGGATAGGCGTTTAAATAATACGCCAAATGACAAATCAAAGAGGCATTTTTTGCTCTTAGTCAAAAATTCTTATATAATTGCTTTAGAGAATATAAATTTTAGTTACGTTATCAAATGATGTAATAAAAAGTTATACGCACTCCGTTCTACGCAGCAGATATAACATGGGTTTTTTTTTCTCACAGGGAGACTCGTTGACCAACACGGTAACATCGAGAACTGGTGGAGTTACAGTTCTATCTCTGGTTTTATAGACGCAGCAAGGTGTTTGGTGAATCAGTACTCTGGCTTTGTCATGCCTGAAAACGGCAAACGTGTAAGTTATCTGCACACGATTGTTTTTAGAATACTGATCAAGGAATACTTCTACTAGGGCATCGCTTTGTAGTTGTTTGGTTCTCATTTCGACCCTATTTTGTGGTCCCGACCAAAGAAAAAAATATCTTTTGTTATTGCCGCCAATCCTGAATGGATCCAAAATTAAAAACAAAAGGTGAAAAATAACAAAACAATTTACGCAATCAGACTCTGTGTAATTTGTAAAAAAAATATCCGAGTTTGTACAAAACGCGGCGAATAGCAACCGCGGCAATCCCAGTGAAGGCGAGGGTGTTGCCTCTCAAATTCCATGGGTCTTTGGTTTACTTTTACCGTGAATATGCCATGGCTGCCACTACAGCCTGTACGTACATGCAGTGAGCCGCATGGTGCAGATTATATTGTAAATCAACAACATCGTGCCGACGGTGGCTTTTGGCTTTGTTCAGTGACATCAACTCTTTATAAACTCATTACAATAAACAAAACAAAAGACAGTCATAGGGCAAAATTCAATTTAGCCATCTAAACGGATGCAAATGCTTTTTTTTTACTTCAGATTTTTATTTTTGGCAGACCAAGTTTGCAAAGGATTCAAGTAGCATCTCAGCATGGTTTTAGATTAACATTGGTTTTGCTATTTCATTTATTGAATGCATCCGTTCAACCTGATCGTTCGATCACCAGCCAACCTTAAAAACAACAACTTAAATGCGCAGTTACGAAATATATCGAGTCTAAATCATTATTATCAGGTTGACGGTCAGTTGACAGAAGCTGAGAACATCGCTGATAATGGCGGTCTGAGAGAGGCTTACAAGGTGAGTACACTATAGCACACACTACAATTCAGTTTGAGCATATATCTGGTAATAAGTCGTTGTACCAATGACTGGACTTGTACCGCCACACTCTAAAAGGTCCGGGTCAGATTCGACCCAAAACCAGGACACTTTTCCTAGTCGCCTTTGTGGGACAGTTGACCCGGAAAAGTGTCCTTTTGACACTACAAGTATTCCTTTCGACCCTGAAAAGTGTTATTCAGGCATAGCAAAATTCGTTTTGACCCGAAAAGTGTCAGGTAAAATGTGACCCGGATCCAGGGTCAAACTAATGCGAGTATAAACCCGTTATCCATGGAGCCAAGTCTCCTGTTTAACGTCTGATATATCTAAGCATGCCGACTTATGCGAGCCCGTCATTTCATTCCTAGTGATTGATTGGTCAATTCGAATTCAGTGTTTTGTAATACAACAGAAGCCGGGCGCATATCGCGTAACATGATACAGAGCGCGTGGCACAATTTTGTATCTATGTCTATCACACACAACGAGTGAATGACCGAAAACCCATATATAAAGCGCCCGCTGATTGGTCAATATCTAGAAGTCAGGATGCGGTTGCCTTGCATAATTAATCAGCGAATCTGCTCAAACATCATAGACGATGGCGAAATATTACATAGACTACTGTCGAACCTCGCCCGGAATTATTTAAATTCCACCTGATATTCGTTTGTCCCATTCCTCTTCCACTCAGGCTTACAAAACTAACAGGCCCAGTGTCCAGGAACAACTTCCTGGATTGGAGGATCTCACTAACGATCAACTGTTCTTCTTGTCCTACTCACAGGTACGTCAGGCGGAAAGAACATTCCAGTTATACTTTAACAAGTACTAGCAAAAAAAACAATTTTAAGGTTAACTTCCTATCTTAACCAGAATTACCTTCCTGGGTTGAAAATCCGCCGAAATATCCCTTACATAAAATACTTCAATTTGCCATCAGTATACCTTAGAAATTCCATTTTTTTGAGTAAAATCCATATATCTATTTCGTGAAATCCTTCGTGAAATCCTTGTTGTTGTGCCGTATTTTACCCGGGTCTCCAAAAGCCATCATTTTACGAAACAGTGATCTTCTCCATGCAGCACAAAACAAATGACCGAAAGTGGGTTCCCAGTTTTCAATTATCTGTGTGTATAAGTGTTTCGTGTTTATTGAACGGATTACGGCTAGACAATGGGACAGACAATATTTTGTGGGATACGTTGTGTATTCACCAAAACGAACACACAAAAAACTAAAGAATATACCAAATATTTAACTGTAGGGAGTGCTGATGGTTCTGTATAATTTGCCTTCAGTAATTGTTTTCTTCCAAAGGATACAATTTCAGGCGGAATAATTTCACAGGGTATTTTGTATTGTCCTAATTTTTAGTGTTCCGTATCCGTGTTTTTGCCAAATTGTTCCAGCATGCCTTTATATTTAGGTGTGGTGCAGTGTTGTGACGCGCGAAGGGGCAGACTGGATGGTCAAATACGGAGTGCACAGCCCCGGCCGATTCAGGTTAGTCATTCCCTAAGAAAAAAAATCCATTCAACACTATTCCATTATTAAATTAAATACCAAGGTTTATATCTCCCTCGAATTTTCATATCAGAAGTTCAAATCTTAGCGAGCACATGGATAACATGGAAAACTTACTTTTTTTGCAGAGTCATTGGTCCGTTGCAGAACAACGAAAACTTCCATAGTGCCTTCGGCTGTCAGTCGGGGAACTACATGTACAAAAGTCAATATAGCACGTGCAAAGTGTGGTACTAATTGCTAAAACGATAGCCGTTTGCAAGCCTCACACTAAAACCAGTAGGAAAACCTTTAGAAAAGCATTTAGGAAAAGTTATATAAGTTACTATGTTCTGTGAACACACGTTTCTATTTTGCAGCAATGTAAAGAACGTATCAAAGTGAGTAGCCTGATTCCGTAACACGGAAATCCAGCTGCAAGATTACATTTTGCAGCTGATATTATGATGTACTACTCACACGAATCCATGTTGTAATCATGACATTAATGAAGTTAACAAGATAACAGAACGTGTAGTTGACAATGATATGCACAATAAACAGCTCTCTTTACTCAGATCTTGAATAACTTATTTTACTCAGTCACTTAAACTAATAATGTTAATGACAGAATTAAAATGTAAACCACAATAAGAGGGCATACCTTAACAGTTGCTAGGGCTAAAAGTACATGTATTGTAGTTTAGATTATTGTAGTTTAATTCCGGATATGTAATTTGTTTTCCTTTTTTAAACCCTGTTTAAATATACTTTTAAGCAAACAGTTTATTGACATAATATTTTATGTATAAAAACGAATTTTACTTACGACCTTTCACACACGTATCAAGGTCTCCCTGTTTGGTCAAGTTTTCACATCGCAATATACTTGCGTGAGAACGAAATGACAACGACGCGAAGATTTACCTATAATATATCTACATACGATGGATTCTAGATTTAGTCGGGCTTGTTTACATACAGTGGTTATAAACGGTAATTCTAGATTTATTAGTTAATGAGAATTACTCCTTTAATTTTTTTTTTTTATAGTGTCCCAAATGACATTTTAGTCTGCTATACCGCCACAAACGTTTTTCATAAATGTTCATCTTTGTACGAGTGCTCCGAGTTCCACGAGTCCAAATGTATTTTTGGCACGATATTTCTTTGTCATGCGATTTTTTTTAGTTTTCATAAATTCAAATGCTAGTAACAGTTTTACAAAGTCCTTTTCCGAGGGTGATTTTCTTAAGAAATCAATGTACCAAAAAATGATCACAAAACTGTGACTTTTCCACGCTAATTGTCCTATTCGAAGGTGTACGGAAGCGCGCCACCCGTAGGTCAACATTCAGGCACTGTGTCTGGGTTCATTTCATTAGGTTGCAAAGCCCACAAAATGCTCAAAAAGTTAACGTGCTTATCAAACTAGCTGTGCTTCTTTAAACAAATCCATAGGCCTACTTTGTAGAATTTATACAATAAACACAAATCTGCTCATTACCCGTGTCAAGCATCATATACATCGCATCCCATTTGGATGGCAAAACAGCTTTTCCTGAAAAAAAATTCCCTCTGTGTTTAATAAAACCATGTTATTATAGCAGCTCGTTCAAGGTCATGGTCATTTGCTGCTGGTGCACTTAATTTTTTTCGTTTGGAGCATGAATTGCTCATTTGAGGTGCTCAACATCTTAATTGCGGTTCACAACAAGCATAGTGAGTCAATATACATTTTGAGGAAACATAATCTGCACTTTTTTGCTAACGAACGTAAAACGGAGTGCCCACGGAAGCACCTTTTTAAATCATGAACAATGATTGGTTTCTTTCGATCGAAACAATTTCTTGTGATAAATTTTCTCGGGGTATCTGAAAGCGGCCCAGTTACCTTGAGCCAGTTTTTACACATTCAATGAGAAGGTACGTTTCCAAATAATCCAAACCTCCTGTATGTGCCTTTAAATTGACCACTGTATATCGCCTGGGGTGTAATAATATTATGGTACCGCTTTTAATATTGCTATAAATGGACTTGTGTATGTGTACAGACCAGTTGGAGCACAGAGTCCCCAGTTGGTACCCAAGGAATGGCAGATACATTGTACAAGTACTCCATGAGAGATACTCAGAACAAAGGTGGTACAATGCCTCAGCCACTACCCAGTGAGAACAACAACTCTGCGTCCGAATTGGTCTATTATGCTCATTACGGCTATAGAATGAATAAGACTACTTTTTTGTATAAATACATACAAAAAATTGTGATTTGTATTCAGCAATGATCTTCCAAAAGAATGACAGCACTGAAATTATAACGGGGTTCAGAAAGCAGTAACGTTTTTACACAACATTTAAAAGTGGAATGTGTGAAGCGCCAAACAAAATAAAAAAGAGATTGTCTACGTTTAAAGTGAATAAATGCAAAACAATTACAACGTTTTTAGAAAAACTGTTAAGAGCGTTATAGTTAATTAATATAGAGCATATAATTATTCTTGATTGTAATAAATCTTTAGAACATGTGTATAATTGTATCAGTACATCATAATCAACTATCGTGCCGTTATTTTCTTTAAATAAAATGCTCAAGCAAAACAAAATGTGTAATGCAGTTGGCCAAAGCAAATTTCCTTTCTGTAAATGAGTTCACACTCGGGGTTTACTGACGAAAAACCAAACATCTATATTATATTTAAAAGTAGAATTTGTTGAACAGAAACCAAATATTTTAATATAATGTACTCAGTTGCCTGTTTTTCTTGGCTACACTGACCAGGGGACGGGGGGTACCTGAACACGGCGCACGGAGTCCATACCGCTATCATCGTGACAAGGAATAGCAATGGGTGGTTGATTTGCAGGATGAGGAAAAGGCGATCGAACAAAATTAACTTGCATTATTTTGTGTGTGACGTCAGCGTGCTCTGCTTTGAGGTTGAAGACAGCGGATTGCATTGTTTATGGCACGAGAAATCCCTCCAAAAAAAAATTATTTTATTTTTTTTTGGGGGGGGGGGGGGAGACTTTTTACACTTTTCAAACATGTTTGTAAGTCAAAATACTCCGGCCAGGGATGAAGAGGATCATCGATCCGGTCCAATGCGGAACCTTGATTTTATTTTCCTAATCAATCCCGTGGCGATCACAAAAGCAACAGCGGTCAAGCTAGCACGCATTAGCTTGTATGAAGCCTGCGCATGTATCTTCGGACTTTTTCTGGTCCGAGTGCAGTGGCGGATCGGAAGAGGGGAATGCAAGGGGAGGGGGGTTTGCGCCCCCCCCCCCCCCCCCACCGCCGCCACCACCACCCATTCCCCCCGTTCAGTCGCTGAGAAATAAGGCCAAAATAATATTAAATGGAGTGCTAAAGTGTCTCAAATAAAAGTGCAATTTATGAATTCTGGGGAAAAATTCAGCTATGGAATATCATACTTTCGGGAAAGACAGACAGACAGACAGACCGCCCGTCCGTCCACCAACCTACCGACCACCAAATGGTCGGTATAATAGAAGTTATATAATAGAAGTTCCTGCCAGAGCTTAATAAAATAAAAAAAACTTCTGAAATAAGGTGTATATTTCAGGTTACCTTTTTTCGCACACGCAGATCCAGCCGACCAGTAGACAGGTTCCCGGTTCCTACGTTGTCTAGTTTAATATGGGCGGGAACCAGTCAATCCTGCGTGACATTAAATTTTTTCGGGCGGCAAATGATTCCAAATTCCAAGGTAATAATTTTTAATCAAAAGCACGAAAATCGTTATTGTTCTTCAATGCACTGTAGATTAACAACCACAGTCATAGATTGGATGCCAAACATTGTACAAAGAAAATGGATCAGACACTAGTATAGTGTTTGCGATAACCAATCGTCAAGTTTTTTTTCTCGTGCTCAATTTTCAAATGGCATGGTTCTGAAGTCTTCTCTATTTATCTGCCAGACGATGCGCAAAACAACACGAGGTTGCCGATACTCCATTTTGATATTTGATTTCAGGATCCACATGCTTTGCAAACTCGGCAAACAAGTCTCATAATAGAAAAAAAATTGAATTGATTCTATTTCTATTTTGAAGCAATAAAACCCAAAATTACCTTCAGGTTTGCTCAAAATCGATATGAAGAAGCACTTGGGGTCAAGTTGATCATAATTGTCTTTGATTTACAGCACTACTTGACATTATTATGATTTATTGATCAAATATTCTTTTTTTTCTGTTATTTCTTCCAAAATAATGCAATGGCTACTTTGCAGGTGACACTCGTCATTTTTATTGGTCCTCCTTACTTTGACACTTGGTACGGAATACTCGGTTTATTTTTGGAGATTACAAAAAAATGTATTGGAAAAGAACCAGAAGATTATATTTAGGCTGATAGAATTACGTCATGTGCTTTTCACTTCACCAGGCCTTCGAATTAGTAATGCAAAGCACTGACATCTCCTTGGGCAGTGAGATGACGCTTCAATGTTCGGAAAATCAAAGTTGTACGTTTAAAAAGGAGACAAAATGACCCCCTTTGGACAGAAATCGCTTTAAAGTACAGAGCATCGACTGCAGTGCGCCAGTGAAGCATGAAAAGATAAAAGTTGCATCCTTACATGATCCATGTTCCCCCTTTCAAAAAGAAAGTTGATCAACTGTCAGAGTTTATTTAAGATTTTTTGTCTGAGCTCTGTTCAAGCCAGAAAGCAAGCGAAACAAAATCGGCCCGTGTTTATAGAGTAATTGTTACGGCCTAATAACAATAGTTCTTCAACTGCCCGCAACATATAATCTGTAATTTAGGAATATAGGATATCAGTCTACTCCTGACGAAAAACCAAACATCTATATTATATTTAAAAGTAGAATTTGTTGAACAGAAACCAACTATTTTAATATAATGTACTCAGTTGCCTGTTTTGCTTGGCTACACTGACCAGGGGACGGGGGGTACCTGAACACGGCGCACGGAGTCCATACCGCTATCATCGTGACAAGGAATAGCAATGGGTGGTTGATTTGCAGGATGAGGAAAAGGCGATCGAACAAAATTAACTTGCATTATTTTGTGTGTGACGTCAGCGTGCTCTGCTTTGAGGTTGAAGACAGCGGATTGCATTGTTTATGGCACGAGAAATCCCTCCAAAAAAAAAATTATTTTATTTTTTTTTTGGGGGGGGGGGAGACTTTTTACACTTTTTAAACATGTTTGTAAGTCAAAATACCCCGGCCAGGGATGAAGAGGATCATCGATCCGGTCCAATGCGGAACCTTGATTTTATTTTCCTAATCAATCCCGTGGCGATCACAAAAGCAACAGCGGTCAAGCTAGCACGCATTAGCTTGTATGAAGCCTGCGCATGTATCTTCGGACTTTTTCTGGTCCGAGTGCAGTGGCGGATCGGAAGAGGGGAATGCAAGGGGAGGGGGGTTTGCCCCCCCCCCCCACCGCCGCCACCACCACCCATTCCCCCCGTTCAGTCGCTGAGAAATAAGGCCAAAATAATATTAAATGGAGTGCTAAAGTGTCTCAAATAAAAGTGCAATTTATGAATTCTGGGGAAAAACTCAGCTATGGAATATCATACTTTCGGGAAAGACAGACAGACAGACAGACCGCCCGTCCGTCCACCAACCTACCGACCACCAAATGGTCGGTATAATAGAAGTTATATAATAGAAGTTCCTGCCAGAGCTTAATAAAATAAAAAAAACTTCTGAAATAAGGTGTATATTTCAGGTTACCTTTTTTCGCACACGCAGATCCAGCCGACCAGTAGACAGGTTCCCGGTTCCTACGTTGTCTAGTTTAATATGGGCGGGAACCAGTCAAGCCTGCGTGACATTAATTTTTGTCGGGCGGCAAATGATTCCAAATTCCAAAGTAATAATTATTAATCAAAAGCACGAAAATCGTTATTGTTCTTCAATGCACTGTAGATTAACAACCACAGTCATAGATTGGATGCCAAACATTGTACAAAGAAAATGGATCAGACACTAGTAGTGTTTGCGAAAACCAATCGTCAAGTTTTTGTTCTCGTGCTCAATTTACAAATGGCATGGTTCCGAAGTCTTCTCAATTTATCTGCCAGACGATGCGCAAAACAACACGAGGTTGCCGATACTCCATTTTGATTTTCGATTGCAAGATCCACAGGCTTTGCAAACTCGGCAAACAAGTCTCATAATAGAAAAAAAATTAATTGATTATATTTCTATTTTGAAGCAATATAACCGCAAATTACATTCAGGTTTGCTCAAGCTCGATATGAAGAAACACTTGGGGTCAAGTTGATCATAATTGTCTTTGATTTACAGCACTACTTGACATTATAATTTTTTGAACAATTTTTTTTCTGTTGTTATTTCTTCAACCATGGCGACTTTGCAGGTGACACTCGTCATTTTTATTGGTCCTCCTTACTTTGACACTTGGTCCGGAGTACTCGGTTTATTTTTGGAGATTACAAACAAAATTGATTTGGAAAGAACATGACGATTATATTTAGGCTGATAGAATTACGTCATGTGCTTTTCACTTCACCAGGCCTTCGATCTAGTGATGCAAAGCACTGACTTCTCCTTGGGCAGTGAGATGACGCTTCAATGTTCGGGATATCAAAGTTGTACGTTTAAGAGGGAAACAAAATGACCCCCTTTGGACAGAAATGGCTTCAAAGTACAGAGCATCGACTGCAGTGCGCCAGTGAAAGCATGAAAAGATAAAAGTTGCATCCTTACATGATCCATGTTCCCCCTTTCAAAAGGAAAGTTGATCAACTGTCATAGTTTATTTAAGATTTTTGTCTGAGCTCTGTTCAAGCCAGAAATCAAGCGAAACAAAATCGGCCCGCGTTTATAAAGTAATTGTTACGGCCTAATAACAATAGTTCTTCAACTGCCCGCAACATATAATCTGTAATTTAGGAATATAGGATATCAGTCTACTCCAAAATGAATCTGTTCGTAAAACTAAAAAGTGTTGATATTTGAATGCCAATGATCACGTAGGTATTAAAACAGGCTAGTGCAAATCCTTAGCGGCACTGACAATTTTAATTGTTAGCTGATTAGTATTTCAATGTAGTGGTCGGCCCTGATGTTAAGGACGAAGGGGGGCAGTCAGTGACCACGGTAATTGTTGGACAGGACACTTCTCCTTGATTTGCTTTTAAGCAGATGAGGATTGATGGTGACATCCAGTATGAGAGGAAACTTACAGAGAAACAAAAAAATAATATTTCGAGTTCTCTGCAGCACGTATACAACGCTGAAAGTCTACAATTTATACAGCAGAAAGCAAGACTTTCACTAAGAATTGATAATAAACAAATGAATTAACATTATCTTACCCTGACGTCTTAAAGTTGGCCCGAATATATCAGAAACATCAAATAGCTACGTGACTCCACAAGGAGCCATCTCACCAGGCTGGCTTTGCTTCCAAACTGAACGAGTCAAGCGTTGGAACTGTCTCTGAAAACGTGCAAGACTACGCGATTGCAATGTATACAAATGTATACATTGTAAGCAACTTCCGGCGGCCGACGAGAGTGTGCTCGGGAAAATGCTTTGTAATTCAGCACGTGTGTGGCAAAATGTCATATGCAAATAAAGTTCAAAGGTTTAACTGGGAAATCACAAAATGTCAACATTCACAGGGATAAATACATCTGTTTGGGTACACTGCGTACTTAAATTGGTTTAATACACATTACAAAAAGATTTTTGATACATGTATTGCTTGATATAGGCCTATTTATCGCTTACTTCATTATGACACACATTTCAAACTATACTAACTGGTTCTTGAGAACTGACTAGAAATTTTATGATGGCATTTAACCCAAACGTCTTTTGAGTAAAATCTGATGTAAAAAAATGTACATTATATTATATATTTGGACAGAACAACAAGTTGATTATAACTGAAAAAATCCTAACTTGTATTCACGATTATATTGATGTTATATACCTCTACCATAATGCCTAAAAATGATAGAGCGTCCACTTAACGTTTTGGGGTTACTCCAAAAAGTGTGCAGAGGCCTGTTAAAATGACAATAGCGTGTCAGGATGTTAAAACAACTTTCGTTTGGAATATAAAAATGATTTACAAAGGAAACAGGTTTTGCTTTAGAAAGTTTTGTTTTTAAGACATGTTATTGGAGGTAAATAGACACGTAACCGCCTTACGAGTAACTACATGTACTACAACTGAATAAGCGAAATTAAAGTAACTTTAGTAAGATATACAATGTTATTGCATTCTTGTTGGCTACAGTCAAAAAGAGGCATTTGAATCATTTGACAATTAATAGCAGAAAGGCACAATAAACAAATATTATAAATATGATATACAATGATATATGAATATGAGATCTCTATGCTGGTGCTAAATATAATTGGGAATCTGCTTAAGATTGGTTTATTCCGAACGGGGGGGGGTACCTATATAAAGGCTTCAGAAAATAAGGTACCACTTCATAAAAAAAACTAAAGTCTGTAAATACAAACTGACTTTCTTAATTAAACGCCTATCAAGCCTTTTTTTGGAATTCCATTGAATTCAAAAGTGAACACTATCATAACAAAATGTAAGGCGTGTGACTTTCTACAATTAGCTGCAAAAAAAACAATCGGTACATTTTCTGGGATTCTATTTGTATTTATAAATTGTCTACTTATACCTTTCCATACAGGCCCATGCAGCACATTAACTTTTAGGTCGATAACTTTTAGGTGGATAGATTGGTTTAGGCAGATATTTTATTGTCATAGTTTCTTGTCATAAATGTAAAGAGAATACTAAGGTATTTTTCATCTGCAACTTAATTTTCACACTTCGACAAAAATTAAAACGAAACCAGCTCTCATAATGCATGAAATAAATCTGTTTTGATTGTTTAAGTCATTTTTGTTTTATGATAACCAATTACGTAGACCTATTCCAGCCTCAATCCCTTTTGTAAAATACCTGCAAATTTGCTCACAATTGTTTGGGTTTTTTCGGAATTACTGGTGGAAAATTGACAAAATTCTTTTCAAGTGCCAATTAAGAGAGTGCAAAACAATCAAGAAGGGCTTTGAGGCTTCACAGCGTTCAATTTTCCAAAGGTTTTTTGGGGTGGCGTTGAGCTCCCAGCATCGCCAGCTCCATTATCTTGGGTATCAACACAATCCATGTATCCTTCGATCTTCATCACATCGAAGACAGGGTTCACAATCTCCGTGTGGGATCGCTTCAGCGAGTTTTGCAGCACGTGGTAGTACGACATCGGCCCAGACTTCGGCCCTTTGCCCTTCGCTTCCTCTGCATCGAACTCGATGGATTCTTCGTGTCTGGAAGAAAAAAGATTTATTCCGATAGCGAAAGTTACTAAATGCATTATTTTATACAACAACTAGTTTCCAAGCCCACAAAATTATAATGTCCTCTTCCGACCTCTTTGAAATACAAGCTCGATCGGAAATGTCTCGGAAGCTACTGGCCAACGATTCGTGTTCATGCATGAGTCTAGTGATTGTGCCAAGAAATTTCTAGAAGTAGCGTTCTAGAAAAAAAAAATTTGACCCCAGTGACCCCATGATGGCCTTTGACCCCAGTTTGGTCATGTGACATGTTGGGGCTGAGCTACTGATAATTTTGACAAAGTTTGGTTGAAATCGGTCGAAAATTAGGAGCAATAGGCAATGTCAACGTTTCATAAGATTTTAAAAGACGTTTGTAAAAACAGTTGAAACGTCTTATGAAATCTTAACTACCAAACGGACTAACGAAATAACAAACGGAGAGACATGATGATTTGGTGAGCTGCTATCCCGCAGCTAAAACACTACATTTTGATTATAACAGATTTTTCCTCAAAAAAGGCGATGAGTCTTTTTGGTTTATCTTTGTTCTGGGAAGTTTGCTGCAAAAGAATAAAATGAACATATCTTAACGTTGTATACTACATTTTGAAAGCAATATTAAGTGATTATTCGATTGGTTAGAATTTGTTTATCCATTGTTTGTTATCCAATTACTCAATATTTAGTTTTCAATAAGTGAGCATATTTTGATAGGATTTCAACTTACTTGCCCATGTGCCATCTTACGCCAAAACCGATACCCAAGACAACGATAACAGCCACGCAGGTGCCAACAACAATGTACCAATTGGACTCAATCCAGCTCTGTGCAGATAAGAAGGACACCAACTGTAAGTCTAAAATACATTTGAAAACTGTTGCAATTTGCCAAAAAAAAGATAATTTACACAATCAAATCCAGCAGTTGTATTTAAGTCATCACATACCTCGTGTAAGTCACGCTGAAGTCTGATAGTGAGTCGCACGCTGCAAAATGAGCGAAGGTTTTCCTTTTCCATCCCCTGTTACTACATGTATAGTGACCTTACTCGATATAAATGACGTGATTTGATTTCCTGTTAGTTTACGTGCGATGAATTTGTGATCTAACTCTTGATTGAGACTTGACTTAAAGTATGCATTATTCAAACGTCTTTTAGTCATAAATTATATGACGACTTTTAATTGCTATGTTGCATTAGCTAAAAGGTATTTATGCATTACATCTGTACTTCATATTATTCACCTTCTCATCAGAGCTAGGTATGGCTTCACCGAAGTATGCTCCATACCCAAGCTCTTCCTTCAAGTCCTCACTGTCCATTTCCTGAACCTTTTCTTCGACCGTGGTCTTAAGCAGGTAGGCATCCCCTCGCATTGCAACGTAGGTGACTCGTGTCAGCGTCTCCCTGTGTGAATATGTTTTAATAATGCACAGTGGGCTTATTTGATATGCCATATAGATTTCATCTTTTAAAGGTAAAAATAACGTTTGCTTTTTCTGCATTTTTCTCGTTTGAAGGAATAAAATTGCTCAAAATCTTACGAAGGGTGCATAACACCTTGAATTTTCAGTTTAGTGGACACTATACATATGGATCAAAACATTGAGGAAACGTACACAATTGTTGGGGTCTCGTAACTTGATTCCATTGCTAACATACGTAAAGAAAAAACTGCCTGCAAACACATAAACCAGCTTCAATGATTGTTGTCTTTTTACATAATGTCATTTCAGGCGGTTATTTCATAGGACATTTGGAACCAGTCCTGTCTTCACTTTGAGCAAGGATTTCCCCATTAAATCGGTATGCATGTTCAAAGGTAATTGCAACTGTGCTATATACGTGCATTTAAGTTTTAAAAAAACATGTCACGCACAATTATTCAGGTGCCTTTCACAGCCGTGCAGTAATGGATAAAAAGACAATAGCTTATTGTACCCAAACGTTAATTTTACAGTAGAATTATACACAAGTAAAGTATTCTTTATATTGATATTTGTTTCCTGCCACTATTGTTAATTGAACAACATGATAATAACTCTCAATTACGCTGGTCTAAAATCAAATTGAAGGGCATGGGTCTCTATATGTAGAAAGGTAAACTATCAAAGAAAACACTTTGATCAATCGTACTTGGTATCAGCAGTGATGTAGTCTTCTAGCTTTACGATCTCCACAGCCACGTCATCAACGCTTCGTCTGAATGGTGATAGTATGGCCTGCAACAGTCGGGCCATGTTTGCGACAAACTTCACCCCGTCGATTTGACCAAAAATGAAGATGATGCAACCATACTGCTTCAACTCTGAAAAACATCAATGTCGGGGACATGTGGTGAAAAAAACTCAATATTGATTGGCAAAGAACAATAGGTAAGTTAGCCAGCAGAGATATTGCTGGCATTTTAATCTCCTTTCATCCACTTTGCTGCAAATTGGACCACATTGACATATCATCCCTTTCAATTAACTGTCTATATCTCTGGAGGAAAAACATTATTGTTTTGGAAAGTAATCATTCTTTAAGCCTTTAAGCATATATAAGTTATTATTAAACAAAATAGGAGTTAGCATTTATAAAAAAAAATTCTAAATGTATCAAGTTTTAATACACACTGTATAAGAAATGTTTTACTTAAGGAAAAAATACAACTTAACGGGAACAAAGACGAAAGAGTGACTTATCAGAAACCAGATTGATAGTCAATACTTTACATTTCACGTTTGTAAAATGTTAAAACACATTCTGTCTTTAATGTGACTTTTAAGTGTGATCAAACATCTGGACATAGAAAGTAGGAGTTATAAGTAAATGTCTCACCAACATCACAGTTGGTACCATAGTAGCCGTCGTAACAGGTGCAAGTATAGCCATAGTCGCTCTCTTTGTCGGCTTTGCATGAACCATGCTCACAAGGTGTTTTTGCGCACGGATTGTCCACGGGATTTTCACAGTTTTTGCCATCGTGGAAGGGGTCGCACTCGCAACTGTCGAGGTAAAAAAAAAGTACATCAATAACCGAAGAGCCAGCCGCTATATGAAATGTTATCTTTCCCAAATAAATTGTGTGTTTATTCTTGGTCTCCCGATCAGTGGATTAGCACCGTTTTTCTCCCTTAGCTTTTTAATGACAGAAAATCACGAAGAAAATTCTTGTGTCGGTTGGTGGATAGAAAACTTCGGTGAGTAAGGTAACGAACACACATGTATAGAGCCCATAACGAATTCCTCTTGTGGTAGCTGCAGGCGTCGAATCGAGCTCCAGCTAGGCGCAAAGAGAACTCACTAAACTGACTTAGTTAAGAAGTCTTAACTTCTTGTTCGGTTGTGAGTTACAAGGAAACCAAGCGTCCAGTTAAAACAGTTCAAAAAAACAACCAGATATCAAACAAAGATATAAAAAAATAACACGAATTGTAAGGATCGTATTATGCACCTTCCATGCATACATTACAGAGAGTGAGCGTGCGTTTTCGTTGGAACGAATCACGTGTGCAAAAGGGTCCAATGGGAATCTTTTAATGAAACGGTGGGGAAAGATTGGGTGTTCAATATAAACGGAGGCCATACGTGGTTTTGAATAGTTTCTAATCTGTTAGTAGTAAACTTCGCTATAAACTGTGGGTAAAATCTTTACCTGTATCCGTTCAGAGCTGGAATGCACGTTCCTTTGTTGCAGGGCGAGCTGAGGCAGTAGTCACTCTGAACACTGCAGTCATCTCCCTCGTACCCAGCATTACACTGACACAAACCATTCTCACAGACACCATTCACACATCCCGGCTGTCAACGAAATGCAAGTAATGGGTTAAGTACTTTGATTCAAAAGTATTTTTGTAATATTGTCTTAAAAAGCATTCACTACTACATCATGACGGGACATTTCTGAATAAAGATATACCTTACGTTTAAACAATAAACCTTTAAGAGTCTGAATTATTGTATGACAATGATAAAAAAAAACGCTGCAAACACTTACTGATCTGATTGACCTGAAATATGCAAATCAATGTCTCTTGCTTGTCTGATTCTGTTCTTTTGTCATTGTGCTTTCGAGAAAAATTTCGCAGGGATCGAGATATAAGGCCCTCTAACTTCTTTTATTCAAAACACTTTTCTCCACCATGCCAACCCCAAATAATCTATAAAAAAAAAACTTAATATAGAGAAACGCCTTGCTTACCGCGCATTCGCATCTGTACTGACCAGCTTCCTCTTCATCAACACACGTGCCGTTGACGCAAGGTGAGCTATCACAAGCGTCAATCAGATCAAGACACAGCTTTCCCTCGTATGCAGGTAAGCACTCACAGGCAAACCCGTTGACTTGGTCCACGCACGTACCGTGCACACAAGGCGTGCTGGCACACTCGTCGCTGTCAACCTGGCACAGCTCGCCCTCGTAGCCCGGCCAACACTCGCAGTCGAACCCACCAACCTTATCCACGCACGTGCCGTTCCAACACGGCGAACTCGAACATTCGTCAATGTTGCTTTGACACAGCGGGCCATCGAACCCCACATCGCACAGACACGAGAAGCCGATGTATTCATCTATGCAAGTGCCGTGCGCGCAGGGCGAGCTCTCGCATTCGTCCGTTTCCTCCTGACACCGAATGCCCTGATAACCAGCCGTGCAGTTGCAGAAGAATCCGTTCACCAGGTCAACGCACGTTCCGTTGACGCAGGGAGAGCTGACACACTCATCTATTTCCTGCTGACACAAATCACCTTCAAATCCGGGAGAACATTCGCAAGAGAAACCATTGATGAGATCCACGCAAGACCCGTGCATGCACGGCGCACTAGCGCATTCATCAATGTCAATCTCGCACTTTCGTCCCTCGAATCCGTCGGTGCAATTGCACGAGAAGTCGTACGGTCCCAAATCCACGCATGTCCCGTCCACACACGGTGAGCTGCCGCAGTTTTGAGCCACGGTGTCGCAAAGAGTGCCCGTGAATCCGGGCTCACAGATGCATGAGAAACCATCGATGAGGTCCGTACAGCTTCCGTGCGAGCAAGGTGAGCTGGCACACTCATTGATCTCCGTGTCGCACAAACGACCCTCGAAACCAGACGTGCAATTGCACCGAAATCTATCCACCAGATCCACACAAGTACCGTTCACACAGGGTGAGCTGGCGCATTCTTGGATGTCGCTTTGGCAGAGCGCGCCTTCATATCCCGCTGCGCAGACGCATGAGAAGCCATTAACGCCATCAACGCACGTGCCGTGCACACACGGTGTACTGGCACACTCGTTAATGTTATATTGGCACCTATCCCCCTCGAACCCAGGTGTGCAGTTGCAGTGAAAACCACCAATAGCATCGATGCACGATCCATTCAGACACGGGGAGCTATTACATTCATCAATATCGACCTGGCACTCGTTACCCTCGTACCCAGGATCACACATGCAGGAGTATCCGTTAACTTGGTCGAGACATGTACCATGTAAGCACGGAGTACTCGCACACTCGTCTATGTCACCATCACACCGATCTCCTTCGTAACCCTCTGTGCAATTGCAGGAGAACCCGTTCACCAAATCAACACAGGATCCGTTCACGCAAGGCGAGCTCCCACACTCATCAATATCATGTTGACAGGATATCCCTTCAAAACCTGGCATGCAGACACAGGCAAACCCGTCCACTTTGTCTTGGCAGGTGCCGTGCAGACACGGCGTGCTCAGACACTCATCTATGTCATGCTCGCAAAGACTTCCCTCATACCCAGCCGTACAGTTACACTGGAAGGAACCCACTTGGTCCACACAGGTACCGTTCATGCAAGGAGAGCTTTCACACTCGTTGATTTCATGTCCACACCTAGGTCCCTCGTAACCGGGAGAACAGGTACACAGGAACCCGTCAACTTGATCCACACATGTGCCATAGAAACACGGGGAACTTGAACACTCGTCTTTATCAATCTGGCACAGGATTCCATCAAAACCAGCTGTACAGTTACAAAAGAACCCATCGACTAGATCCACGCACGTACCATTGACACAAGGGGAACTTGCACATTCATGGATGTCATGCTGGCAGAATTCTCCCTCATAACCAGGTTGACATGAACAGTGAAAACCGCCTATCATATCCAGACAAGTGCCATGGGTGCACGGAGAGCTGGAACATTCGTTAATGTCGATCTGGCAGAGATCTCCTTCGAACCCAGTTGAGCAGTTACAGATGAAACCATCAACGTGATCGAGGCAGGTCCCGTTCAGGCAAGGAAAACTAGCACACTCGTCAATGTCCGTATCGCAAGTCAACCCTTCGTAACCAGGAGAGCATGTACACGAGAAACTGTCGATCAGATCAACGCACGTTCCGTGCACGCACGGTGAACCGGCACATTCATCAATTTCGTTTTGGCAAAGCTCTCCCCAATACCCCGATGAACAATTGCAGTGAAACGCATTAACCATATCGACACAAGTGCCGTTCATGCAGGGTGAACTGCCACATTCATCGATGTCAAACTGACAGAGGGGACCCTCGAAACCAGCGTAACACTTGCAAGAAAAGCTGTCGACGTGATCGACACAAGTGCCATGTATGCACGGGGTACTCGCACACTCATCAATATCGTTTTGACACCGAGACCCATCAAACCCAGACGTACAGTTGCAAAAGAACCCATTCACTTGATCAACACAGGTACCATTCAAACAGGGCGAACTTCCACATTCATCGATTTCATTTTCACAAGTCACCCCCTCGTAACCTGGCGAACACTGACAAGAAAATCCATTGATCAGGCCTTCGCACGTGCCGTGGGTACAGGGTGTGCTAGCACACTCGTTGATTTCTATCTCACAAAGTCGCCCCTCGTAGCCCGCTGTACAGTTGCAAGTGAAAGCATTGAGCTTATCAACACACGTACCATTGGAACATGGTGAACTCAGGCACTCATCGATGTCGTGTTGACAAACTTCCCCCTCATAACCAGGATCACAATCACACGAAAAGCCATTGATGTGATCGGAACAGGTCCCGTGCAAGCACGGGGTGCTGGCACATTCATCAATGTCATCTTGACACAAGGTTCCTTCATACCCAGCAGAACAATTGCATTTGAAGCCATTTAGCAAATCGACACAAGTGCCATTCAAACAAGGTGAGCTATCACATTCATTGGTCTCCACCTCACAGTCATTTCCCTCGTAGCCTTCCTGACACAAGCAGCTGTAGGAATTCCAATAAGTTCAATAAGGATTAAATGATAAAATGAAACTGGTCGCCAGTGAGTGCACTTTTCCGGTTCCTATCGTGATTCTTCGAAATATATAAATACTTTTGAGTGGACAACACTGACAAACAGACACGTTTGTTTATGATGTAAATCGAGGATTTTCTATTGTTCCTCTTCCCTTTTTATTTGCTTATAACTTTTTCGCAACTGCTCTCACTGGTTTTGTACACGTTTTCTAATCGAGGTCTTCCTCGATTCGGTTCCTGTCCTCAATTCATCGATGATGTTGCACGTGTGTGTCCTCGATTTACACCATAAACAAACCCCAGAGATATGCATGCACGCACTTCGTAATCATTGATAGTCCATGCATGGAACCTAATCACAAACATCAAAAGCAGAATGCACTATGGCATTAAATTCGATGTGCCGGCCTTTCCTTATCTTTTACTTTTCAGGACAAAGTTCTGTTAGTGACGAGAGAATCGCATTATTGAGAAAGATCATCGAAATTTGGTTAGTTTTATCCATAAGGGTTCAATTCTATCCCGATAATTTCCTTACGTGTAAATTTCGAAAAGTCATAAATTTAAGCCTTTTCAGGTCGTTTTCAAGTCCTGTGAAGAACATGTGTCTACTTTAACCACATCACTTTTTGGGATCTTTAAAAAAAAAAAATCATGAGTGGAAACCAACCTGTAATCGCCTATCAGATCGTGACAAGTCGCCCCGTACATGCATGGATCACTGGCACATTCGTCCGTCTCAACGTCGCACATGGCACCTTCGTAGCCCTTCTCACACAAACAGTGAAACCCGTCTAGTCGATCCACGCACGTGCCGTTATTTGTGCAGGTTTGGTTGATGCAGAAGTCGATGTCAGCCTAGAACAGTCAACAATATACATGTAGTTGTAAATAGTTATAATAGCTCAGAATCTATAGACCTAAGACCTAATGACGTAATGACTTTGTTTACATAATGCGTCAAGTTCCTATGGAAGCGAAGTCGGGACGCCAGACGAAGTAGAGACCGACTACCACATAGGAAAGCGCACATATAAACAAAGCGTGACGTCATTAGGTCTGAGGCCTATTTGATATAAAGTCTTGTTTCAGTGCACCAAAAAAAATAACATTAAGAAGGGTAACCTCTTCTGTTTTAAAACGTCTACCAACCGTTGGCTGTTGTAATCAGACCGTCCATATTTGACAACATAATCCCTGTTCTACTTTGAAAGTGTCCATTGTAAGTATAATTTCACTATGATTGTACCTCACAAAGATCGCCGAAGAAACCAATCCCACAGCTGCACTCAAAGTAGCCCAGGCGATCTACACAAGTAGCATTGTGTTTGCAGGGGCTGCTGGCGCAATCATTGGTCTCCACCTGGCACAGGTTTCCTTCCATCCCGGCCGGACAGAGACAATGGAATCCGTCCACCTGGTCGACGCAGGTGGCAGTATTCCAACAGGGACTCGGCGCGCAGTCGTCGATGTCGGTCTGGCATAGATCCCCCGCGAAGCCAGGGGCACAGGTGCAGTTAAACCTACCCAGACCCTGTGTGCAGGTGGCGTTGTTGCGGCAGGGGCTGCTGGCACACTCGTCAATGTCCACCTGGCAAAGGGCGCCTACGTAACCCAGCGGGCAGGTGCAGGTGAAGTTGCCAATCAGGTCAGTGCAGGTGGCTCCATTGAAGCAAGGCTGGTCGGCGCATTCGTCCATCTCACAGAGCTCGTCCAAGTAGACGTGACCAGGAACGCAGGTGCAGTTGAAATATCCCAGGTCATCAATGCATGTGCCACCGTTCTTACACGGATTGGACTCGCAATCATCGATGTCGACATCGCAAAGACGATCTGTCATTTAAAAAGAAAAAAAAACATAGATTTCTTTAAATGGACATTTGCACATCATACCATGTTTTAAGTTTTAAAGAAGGTGTGTTTTATGCTCTCTAAAGTGTATTCATTAAGGCAGTTCTGATAACTCTATTCAGGTCAGTCAGCTAAAAATACAAACGAATGTCATTAAATGTGACATATGGGTCAATTCTAATGACAGGATAAATACATACTTTCCTATTTTTTATCAAAAAAAACGGGGAAAAAACACTTACACCGTAATATACATATTTTTTAGTTTATCCTAATATAACTAACAGACTTTCATACTACAGTGGAAAATAAACCTTGACATGGCACGTTGAATAATGTTGGCACACGAAGGTGTTTAAACTCTGAGCACCATTTCACAGTCTATAATCATTTTTTTTTAATTAATAAGTAAAGATAATAAGTAAGTTTTGTTTCATGTAACTTGTTGTTATAAGAAATAAGAAATTCTCTGAGCTATATTTCGCGAATAATGTTTGCTTCCATTTGCACACAGTGTCTTTTACTAATTATTTAGTGTAAGTTGTACTTTATGACTTGTATTGCCATAATTACACGGTGATTTTCCTCCTGAATATTAGTTGAAGTCTAACAAGTCTAATTAGATATTAATCCGACAATTATGTTAACCCTTGAATAAACACACAACTTTTGTGACTGTTTAAAACTTACCGGACCAGCCAAAATCGCAATTACAATGGAAACCCCCATCCTCATTGACACACGTGCCGTGGATGCAGGGAAAATTCAGGCATTCGTTGATGTCCTGCTGACAAGTATCCCCTGTAAATAAATAAGCCATAGTCAGTAAAATATTATTATGGCATATAATGCTGATAAATGCTGACCGCGGCCAAAGCTCAATTTTAACCCACTTTTTACACAAAGTTGAACAGGTTGATTTTCACGGGATCAAGTGGTCACTTGTAATCGTAAAACTATAAAGTATCCCAATAAAATCATATCTTGCCATGGTAAATGCAAGGTTGTAAACAAGGTCAATGCATTGGTCACACTTCAATTTTAATCTCACAGATGGAAATAAATTCAATGTTAGATGTAAATGAGAATTATGCATTTTAATCTGAATCCTGTCTCAATTCATCTTTAACCATTTCAGAAATACGGGAGTTATCAACAGTTTTGAAAGTACCCTGCAAAATTAACAGTTTGTGTATAAATAATTATTCTGGTTGAAATGCTTCAGTAAAATCTTGATTCGACAAAATTCACAACAAAAAGTAAGGGAGATATTCCCAAACAAAACCAACTACCCTCATCACAGGGTCGAATTTGCTGGGGAGTTGGGTCCTCATTTCCCAAAGAAGACCAGTTCGGTAACAAGGGCGGATCCAGAACACATTTTTTTTGGGGGGGGGGATTTGGGTCCCCCAACAGCGTGGGGTTCGGGGCCCGCTCAATTAGGGCCCAGAACAAATTTTGGATTCTAGATGCTCTGTGGTGCAATCTGAGGCAAATTCTGACCACTTAAACCAACTTTAACTTTGCGGAAAAGATTGTGGTGTACGCAGTGCCTGCCTTTATTGCGACGCCACTTTGAAAAAAAATGGGTTGGTTTGGGGGCTTTTTTTGGGGGGGGCACGGACCCCGTTGGACCCCCCCCCCCCCTTGGATCCGCCCTTGTTTGGTCACAGTGTCCAAAAACACAAAGATTTCTTTGCCATATGCTGAACACAAGGAAGCCCAGCTCTCGAGCGCAGGCCAATGCCCCCACTTCCGCACTTAGGTCCTTACCATCCCAACCATTAGCACAAACACACGAGAACCTGTTTTGCTCGTTGTTGCAGGTGGCTCCGTTCAGGCAAGGGCCGGAACCACACTCGTCATAATCAACGTCGCAGTTAGTACCTGGGAAGGTAAAAGTTGAACTTAGGCTTTTAATTGAACGCGGTCCGGTGTAAGATATGAGTAAGGAAGCGGTCGTGGGTTCGAGTCCCGCCCAGCATATCACCTCTCAGTTTTCGGCAATTACAGCTTGCTCCACGCCAGTGTTACTTACTCAGATTTGAATTATAGGAATTCAAAAAATCTACTATCCCATCACTGGCCAGAATTTAAAAATAATATGTTAAATATCAGTCTAGCCTCTGTGATCAACTCTCTTTTTTAATGATGATTTTAAAATAATGTTACACTACAGTTTTAATCAGTAATGTCTTGTCTGTGCATGTTTTTAGTAGTAATGATATTGATTAATTTATCCCCTCATGATTTGTACCTTTTAATTTACAATTTAAAGATGTATTGATTTTATGTTTAGTACTTTTTAACAAAAATACCCGTTGTGAATTTGAATGTTTTCAGCCTGTGGGCTGCTTTTAATTCAAATAAATAAATCATAAAAATAATGAAAATAAATTGACAGAAAAAGTTTTTATTTAAAATAATGGCTTGACAGAATAATGCTTTGTAAATAATATGGAACTTGCTCACAGCATTGATGTTTATATATTTGAATTCAAAGTCAAAAGTAACATAAGTGTATCTATCTTCATTCGTCATTTCACTAGGTTAATAGTAATTTTTTTATTCATTCTTTACCTAAGAACTCAACAGTTTCACAAGTTTATTCAAAAAATAAACTGAACTCATGCATAATATTGAAAGCTCTAATATTGACTTGGCCTACGGGTTTCAAACACGCTTTAAACAACAGCAAGATTTCAAGAGCCATTTCAGACTGGTCTTTGGTATCAAACTTGTTATTCCTATAATATACCTTCCCAGCCATCGTAGCACATCTTAGCTCCTGTGGTCGGGTTGCATGTGTAATGTCCATTCTGGTTATCCGTAGGGACGCAGTACACGCTGCAGTCTGACGTGTAAGAGTCTGCGTTGCAGTACACCCTCACTTGAAATGTGAAACTATAGAGTGAAGTAGAAAACGTACTAGTTTTTTTCTGTATCCCCAAACAAGTTGTTTAAGGCATATAATTTGCTTTTCATACATGTTGTTTCCATTACACCACCACTCAAATTCAAAAGGAGAATGGAATGTTCAAACCTATTCTGTTAAAGTTTCAGCGCAGTGCATATTACTGGTTTTGCAAAACGGTTAACACCATACACGCAGTTTGAGCACGAAACACGATTTCATTTATAGCATTCTTTTATCCAAAATTCAGTCAATTGACTAGTCGTTGGATATCATCACATTTCTTGATTTCTTCTAAATGACAGCAAGGAATAATTCCAAGGAATAATAGCACAGGATTTTATTCAAATCATTCAGTCAACTTTAGCGTGGCCTCTGGGTGTGGTAAGGCATGTTTTCACAACTGGTCGAAGTTCAGTTTACTTTTCCTTTCTTAAAGATAAAGGAATCTGTACGATTAGAAAGACGGTTTATGATCCGGTACATAAAAATGCTTGGTACATAAGAATGCATAAATATAATGAGGTAGGGGAAACTTGCTTGAATGTCTCTCAATCAGCGCGACATGTCAGCGCCGGCCGAAAGACGCGCGACGCGAATTGATGAGACAGAATAAGGACGAGCTTGGTAAGGTTAATTGCTCGTAGTGACTCTGAATAGTCAACTGCTCGGTACAAAAGAACGCTTGTAGAAAAGAGTTGCGTAACAGCATTCACGTGTATAGCGCGATACTGATGCATCTTTCGTGCAGCTATGAAACACAAAGTAACTCTCCCACTGCGGAAATAAAGATTATGTTTTAAACGCAAAGAGAAAAGCACTTACTGAAACAGCCTACTTGTTAAGCTGTCTGACAGCGGACCCAGGGTTAGGGGTTCGAACCCGCTTGGTGTCATTTTTTCGTTTTCGATGCCCACGGTTCTGTCATTTAAGAGTATTAATTTCCCGTCCTCATTTACCAACAGCAGTTAGCTCGGTCGGTCGGTAAGCTGACTCACAAGTTGGGACTGTCTGCGAAGTCTAGGTTGGCATCTGCGTATAGGTACGGGGTTCTTTTGCTGACTCGGCAGCAAGGCTTAGGGTGCCACCTCGTTTCCTCCCTTTATGGTGCCTGACTTTCGAGTTACATGGATGGACAGGGAAGGAGGTGTGGTGGGCCGGGTACCGAGACCCAGAAGAGTTCTATATTGGAAGTCGGTAAGGGGCTCATTAAGTTAGGGTCATAAGTCCGACTCCTGAAGACTTGGCCATCGCCACATAACTTTTTGTTTTATTTTCTTTCTTTTCTATCCGAGGACAATTGCAAGAAAGATTAATTTTTTATATTGAGAGCCTGTACTCTAATCGTTCGAAATTAATTTTTAAAATTGCTCGAAAATACAAAATTCAATCCAGCTACAATTTGTTGTATTTCATTGTCGCAAAACTGTATGTACATGCTCAGTACCTTTGCGCATACCTTGTTCAGGCCTGTTCCCTGATCCCAGACAGCAAGGGGGTCTTTAAATCCTATGGTGGAATTTTTATATGCGAGCGTGGGGTCCGGGGATGCTTAAGAGCCCTGGGAAATTTTTGGATTACAGATGCTCTGTGGCGCAAATATCAAAATTGTAGCTTGACTCTCTATCGAAATATGCCCTCATTTTTTTGAGTCGTCATTAATAAGAATCAGCTCAATTCGTAACTGTACGAGCGAGCATGTGCTTGTGTTTTGCACAGCTGTAGCTGTCAACCCCCGTATAATTATGAAGCAACTTTGCGCGGCAGCTTGTGCCGACATGACACAATGTACAATCTTTTACCGTGGGTTTCAGGACCTGATTTTTAGCTTCGCCGAGTTTTAAGCAGCGGTGTTTATTATTTACATTCTTCACTTATTGAAGAATTATTCCCTCTTCCTTTCCCCTTCCTTCTCCATTCTTCTGATCACTAGTGCCTAGGGCCTACGAAACACTCAATCCGGGCCTGTTCGTCTGACGTGTTCCAGACAATTTTCATGTTCTAGATAATCTGTTCATTTCCCATGGAATATTGATCACCGGTGACTCTTTAAGGCATTAGTTCGAAGAGGGGGGTAAATCAATCGAAAGTCGGAGAAGGTGAGCAACGACAAATTCTCCACAAGGTGCTAAAGAAAGCTGTGTTGTCAATACCAAATCGAGAATGGCGGCAGAATATTTTCATTTCAGAAAAAAAAAATAACACTATGGGAACGCAGTTTAAAGTAAAATTCTGATTTTTTTTATTAAAAACTCTTCATCACTGGGACACCCCACTGAGATGCGAAAAAAATAAGTCGGCCAACGCTATGACTGATGGGCCGAGCATCGTCCTGAAAACTGTACTCGGAAATATGTTTTGTAAAAACTGATGATACGTACTCTGAATGCGTCCCCATGGTGTACTGTACCCACTGAGCACTCGACTGGGAAGCGAAGGAGCTAAGGACGATATTCTTGAAAGCCTCCTCGATTGTGTCGTCATCATTGTCATCGGAATCCATAACTCTGAGTTTGACTCGCATTTGCCCCTGAATCAATGTTTTATAAAAAAAAAAAAACATGAATACAAACTGTTTTATTTACTTGAAAACGTTAGAAGTCACGGGTAGGGACTACAACAACTCTAATCACATTATGCATGATACAGGTTCAGCCGCGACCAGTGTAATGACACTAGTAAAATGGGACTAAAATTAAATCATGGGTTGAAAAAGTTTGACTCAAAGTTTCTAATTTTTTTCTCAAATTGCTTTAGAATGCACTGAGGAGCAAGCATTATAGATTTCAAAATTTTTCGGGAGGGCATGCCATCGAACCATCAGGACAGGTTTGGTCATTAAAATTAAGTGAAAATGGTGTGATGCAAAGAGAAAAAAATATTGTCTAATGGGTGCTGTCTTCAGCAGTGCCAAACGGTCTTTTTCAAAAAAATCTTAACAAATTTGAACCACCGTGCAACGAATACATGTACATAGGACACTTCTGCTTACACATTTTTACGTTTTTAATCCAACCTTTTTTGGGGGAGGGTTTCAGTGTCGAGAGTGAAATTGGAATATTAAGTAGATCTTACCTGCCAACTCGCGACATTTGTTGCCTGTGGATTCGGAATGTTGCTCGGTATCGGGGATGGAAAGTCAAATTCATCGTTGTCGACGAATACAACATCGGTTGTCGTTGACCTAATCCCGCATTCGTCGAAATTGTTGGATCTGCGTTAAACAATGTCACACTTGTTTGCAATAATTGCATGTTGTGGTTAAGTGAGCAGACTTTCGTAGGGAAAGAAGCCAGCATATTGTATTTATTTGTTTACAACTTGTGGTCACGTGACGCCAACTTCCTGCAGAATGTTCTCCTGTGCACTGCATGATTGTGCACCTCTTAAAATGTGACTGGTATGACGTGTGTATCTAGAAACTTCAATAAATAGCACTCTAAGAATCACATAAAACAAATTATGACAACAGTCGAATTTAAACAGGGGAATCAAGGGTGGTTGGGCAATTGCAGAAGGAAAAAAGCTTCAGCAATAGAAACATTCCGACATGTTCACTGTTAAGGGCAGACAAAGGCAAACACGTGCTGAACTGTTTATTTTGTATAGGCCTATTAACGATATTTCTTAAACATCTGACATCGTATATCCTTCTGCGTATTTGCCGATGCCACAAGTATGGCGTCCAGCCATGACAATGTGAATACGGCTATTCGTATTTTTAATGTTGAACTTGAAAAAGAAAGTACTTGGCTTTTAGCAAACAAATTGTGTATTAATCTGCTGAAATCTAACTTAATGATATTTTTTTTTCAAGACAACAGCAACGCACCCAATCTGTTCCACTTTTAAATGATGTATATTTAAATCGTGTCACGACTACCAAATTCCTAGGTGTGACAATAGATGAAAAACTGACGTGGAAGACACACTTTAATGACATCTCAAGCAAGACAGTACAGTGAATCGTTGATGCAATTCTTTATCCCAGCAACATTTTAGTTATTTTTCCCTCTCGTAAACAACTCATTATATAACGTGTTGTTACACTACATTTCATTAAAACAAATTCTGAAAAGAATGGATTTCGCTTACATTTCGTTTAAACATCAATTACCCATCCTCAGTTTAGGCTGAACAAGTTCGTAAGTTTTGATATTTTGCACGATAACTACAAGCCTTGTTACAAAACTCACAAATGGCCTACAAGATATCCTTTGTTAAGCTGAAAAAAATGGCATGCTCATGCACCGTCGTAATTGTAAAATGTGTTGCCTATAGCTATAAGATGTGGTATAACGTCACCAATAAACAACTAAGAGGTTTTTCTTGAGATGTCAGCCTGATTTGAGATTAAGAGTCACTCACTGTGTTCCCATCAGTTTTTTTCAGCACGTGTTTTTATACTTTTTATTAAAAAAAATCTTAGAAAATGTACACTAACCCAGGAACGTCATCGTCCAGACAGACGATGAAGTAATTATCACAAGATCCACAGCTCCATCCCGGATCGCAACAACCCCCGTCTAGTTCCGAGTGGTCTGGGTTACTCCATCTGAGGAACTGGAACTCCACAGTAGCACTGGATCTCACAAGTACGAACGCCTGAATGAAAAGCACCAGTAAATCGGATTTTACACATTTGAAAAATTCCTGGACAGATTTTACCCGGACTCCGGGCTTTTTGGCCCGACTTTTTTTCCGGGTCAAAAGACACCTTTCCGATTCAAAATGACACTTCTCTTGGTCATTTCGACCCGGAAAAGTGTCTGTTGACCCGAAAAGTATCAGGTCAAGTGTGTCCTGCTTTCCGGGTAAAATTAGACCCGGGAGTTAGAAAGTAGGAAAGGACTGATGGAAAATACCGGTACTTTGTTAAAATCCGTCTAAGAGTTGGTATTGAGTTTATAGAAATTGGTAATATTTATGCGATTTCAATTTTTTGTGGGGTAACCATTTTTTTCCAACACCAGAGGACCTATCTCTAGCCCTGGATGGCGAAGCTTTACTAATCTGGGCTTGAATCCTTCAAAATTTAAACTTTAGAACTACAAAATCCCGCAGACTTATTTGCATGTTTTCCATTGTTTCCCCGGAGTATAAACTACTGAAACTTGAAGTATTTTACTTTAAAGCCAGGTAGGATCATTTACGGAAAAGTATACCTACCGATTTAATGACAGAAACCTTGCTCAAAGTTAAGTAAGCAAATGCCCTGAGAAATTATTCCACCGAAAATTATATCCTTTGAAAGAAAAAGGTGATTTCAAAATAGGCCGGCCTCAGGTACAATGTTTCACTTGCATGTTTTACCTACCAGTTAATTAAGAAAAACCTTGTTCAGTGTTAAGGTAGGGCTGTGAAGGTTTGAAGCCAGAAAAGATGTCAATCGAAACAAAACAATCTCGAAGGTGATCTGATGTGTACCTTTAATCATCGCTGTGCACAGTTCAATCAAGTGACCGGTGTCTGTTATTACACCTTATTACAATTAACAGAGCTGTGCATATCTTGAAATACTTACTTGAAAGGAGATCCAAAGAACGAGAAGGAAAGAAATGGATGCCATGGTTCCATGCAGATATCCTTTTTCCTTTCCTTGAGAAATCCAACTAAATGCGGCTGAACCATATACCTGAACTGCTTCTTCAAATGATTGCAAAACACTCTTCTAAAAATCCATATATAGTTCATATTTACAAACTTACACATATTTACACAACCGTGTTGACACTGAAGATTGAAAGACGTTCTCCATTTTTCATACAAAGCAAGAGGCTCATAAAAAAAAGATACTCAACTATGAACAATGCAATGGTTTATGAAATTACAATCTTTCATATCAATAAATTTACAAGATGACGTTTTTATGTACCGTGGCGTTTTAAAAATGGTTTAGCAACTGTTGCGCAAAATTATACACAAATCAATTGTAGTCTTGGTACAAACAAGACCTGGCGCTTAGGCTGACGCATTTTATAAGTTCTATCTGTTACCGCGATGTAAACTTGACCTGGCCTGGCTAATATACAGCCAAAAAGACACTCTTGGTTTCTGATGCTTCGGAAACGTATTGTGCGAGCCAGGAGCGGCGGAACGCTTTTCAAACTGGAGAGGGGGTCACATTGTAAGGAATACAGTACCCAAAACTATGTGGACAAAATTTACTAACAACATTGATATACACTTTTGAAAACGTTTGCGTAGAAAAATTAAAACATCTTAATTCCCTATAATACTCAAAAACTTACAGTGTAGGGCCCTATTCCTGAAATAATCTTATCCGTGTTGTTCTCAAATAAGGTAATTGTTCACTTGAGAAAGCCCTGGCAGTATACCTCTTGGGGTTCAACCTTGATTTGACTAGTTAGGCCTTAGTCTGGTTCCCAGACAAAAATATTCGGACCATTCCTGAAGAATCTTAGGTCAGGTAGCCGTCAGTAATACATTGTATTACATATCACGTCACGTGACTAAGCTGGAGGAATTCCTCATTTTTCCGAAAATGTCCGAAGTTTGCTGAATTCATTTCGTCGACAATCGGATAGCACCCGAGTATTTCCTAGTATAATATAGGTTTTATTAACTGCTAAATGCTTATTAACACTTCAAAAAAAGTTGATAATTAATATTCATTGCTTTTATTTAGAAAACTTGAAATTCAACGACAAGTTTGTATTCGGATCGTATATACGAGGGGCGAACTATTTGCTGTGTCATACTATTTTGAATTTGACGACAGTTACCGGCATTTTCCAAAACTCGGCGTGGTCTGCATTCGGCTCCGCATGCTAACAGTGTTATATGGGTGCCTAACTTTGAAGATTCCAGGTCAACATTAGTCAATGTTTTCTTACAGAAATATCAAACTGTATTGTCATAACTGTACGATATCATGAAGCAAGTGATTTATTTAAAAATTTGATGGGAGCATTAAAAGCTGCAAGTGATAAAGCGAATTCGAAAATAAAGCCGGGTTTTTTAAAAAGGGCCGTCAATGTCGTCATGTTTATTTTTTGCCACGGAGGCTGCCTGACCGACAATTTAGACATGAGTGTCGGGAATAATTGTCAGGTCTGGGAACCGGACTAGTTAGGCCTATGCAATTTTTATAGTGAGAGGTGCACTGTCGTTTTTGATGGCCAGTTTAGTGACTCTTTTATTCTCATGAGGAGAACTATTATTTTTTAACGGACACATGCCGAAGAAACCAAAAACAAACACATTTTGTTATTGGTGGTTTTCCGCTTTTGCCTCTTTCCATAAAAAAAATAGAAAGAAAGATTTCTAAGTGAACTGACTGTTGTAACGGCCTTTTGCGAGTTCCGTAGCCTTCATAAATACGAAGGTCGTACCAAAGTTATTTATGCTGTTTACATAGCTCTTATGAAACCTAATAAACTTGTACAATACAGCAGCTACAGTGACCTCGTTTTTTATTTCAGACGTAAGTTCAAACTAATAAATAAATTGCTTTTGTAAATATGGATTTGTATAAGTGTTTTTTTAAGCTACCATTTCAACACTCCAAGTTTTGCTCAGTTTCGACTGAAATTTAGCAAGTTCAGTGTTGCGTGTGTGTGTGTCGGCAAGCTGAATGATTCGGAATCATTTCTGCAAAATGGACGCTTTGACAGGAGTTTTGTTAACCCTTTTAATGCAGGTATTTTTTAAATTTTATTTCCGGTTGTTTTTCTGCTTTTAATTGGGCGTCGGGAACCGAAACTCGAACTGGAACCGTCCACGCGACAATAAACGTAGCGAGAGCGCGCAGTCTTATCCAAACTTATTGGGCTTATCGGATAATTTTGGGTAGGAACTATCATTCATTTGATTCTGCACTTTAACGGCTACATCTTGACTCATTGTCCACAAGGAGAGAGTGTCACTGCCTTAATTTTGCGAAGGATCTTCTGAATGAGCGTTGTAAATCTTTCTTCCCTCCATCTAGATTGGCCAGCCATGGTAGGAGCCTGCGTAACTCAAAGAATATTTCCTCGATGATATATCCACGACTTGCCGTTCCAGAAATAGCCCAATCTCATACTACGTTGACCTAACTAATTGAAGTGGTTAAGTGTTTAAATATTGTTAACCCCGTCACGCCCTTTCTTTTACTATATCGATTTCGTTTTGATATTTTTCTTTTTCATACAGTTGCCAGTTTTCCATCTTTAGAGGGGTGAAGTTTTAATGTTGCAAATTATACGGGGCACTAATTGTGCTTTCGAAGGGCAGTTTTCCATCTGGATAAGTTATCGCGAGAGGAGCACTATTGTTTTTAATGGCAAATTTCCCATCTCGAGAGGGGCAGAATTGTATTATTTCGTAAGGGGTATTTGTGCATTTTGAGGGATAGTTTTCCATCTCGAGGAGGTGCACAATCTTGTTAATACGCGAGGGGCATTCGTGTTTTAAGGGACACTATTGCATAACAAGAGAGGAGACAATTTGTAAGCTCAGTCATAATGTTTTCATGTACGCGTTTGAGGGGCACTTTTGTTGGCCTGGGAAAATCTGGGGGGCAAGTCCCCCCCCCCCCCCTCCCGGTTCCGCCACCCCATAGTGCGAGCGATGAAAGAAATTTCGGAATAAGGTTTAACGCACAAAATTTGCTATTTAACGCTTTATCTCTGGGGTGGTCCTTGGAGGTTCCCGTACAGAGAAAAACACAGATGGGTTTATTATTTTGCCTTTTTATTACTCAGAGAGCTTCATATACAGTGGAGAATATACAGGTTGTATTAAAATCAAGGTACTCCAAACATTATAGCCTTATATGTAAATGTTATGAACTTGAACACTGTGAAACTGGCTCTATCTTTGAAGGTAGTTCATTTTCTTTCAATTAATATCGCATTTGTATCTCTTTGACAGAGCGCCATTGAGGGGTTTATTGGCCCCTGTTTTTAAATCAATGGTGCTCTGTCATCCATGACTGAAGAGAATGCAAGATTTACTATTGCCTAAATACATGAAAAGCTGATGAACTATCCTTTAAGACGGAGCCATTTCAGCAGTGTTCAAGTTCATAACTTTTAACCCATTACTTTTGCATTCCCTTTATATTGATACACCTGTAGAGGGGGTTAGGGGTTGCAGCTTGCGGCTTGCCACCCCCCCCCCCCCTCCCCCCTCGTTCAGCCGCTGAATTATGTTATGTGACTAGTAAAATGGGGCTACAAAGATTACATGGAATACTCAAGTTCCTAAATTTATTCTCAAATTGACTTAGAATGCAGGAGAAATCATCGTAGATTTTAACATTCTCAGGGGGCATGCCATCGGACCTTTGGCACGCCTTAGGCTTAACCCACCAATCCCTTTATATTAAACCCCGCTATGTAAATTGCCCATAAAACAGCGGCATTAGACTAAACGTAAAAAATGCAAATTAACTGATATATAACTTAAGTGGGGTTTTGTGAACTTCAAATGCAGCTACATATATGACTTTCTGTTCCTATGAGTGGGCTCAAGAATGGTACGAGCATGGTACTACATGGCGCACGGTATCTTCACTGCAAACACTTTTATGGGGTGTGGTAGTGGACAAAAATCTATTCTGAATATTAAAGTGGGTTAAAAGAGCAGATTACTTTGACAAAATTGGCAGCAGTGACAGAACCTTCGACTAGAAGAACCAAGAGTGTCGAGCACGAGATAACTGAACAAGACAATCGAACACATGCCGAAGAAACCAAAAACAAACACATTTTGTTATTGGTGGTTTTCCGCTTTTGCCTCTTTCCATAAAAAAAATAGAAAGAAAGATTTCTAAGTGAACTGACTGTTGTAACGGCCTTTTGCGAGTTCCGTAGCCTTCATAAATACGAAGGTCGTACCAAAGTTATTTATGCTGTTTACATAGCTCTTATGAAACCTAATAAACTTGTACAATACAGCAGCTACAGTGACCTCGTTTTTTATTTCAGACGTAAGTTCAAACTAATAAATAAATTGCTTTTGTAAATATGGATTTGTATAAGTGTTTTTTTAAGCTACCATTTCAACACTCCAAGTTTTGCTCAGTTTCGACTGAAATTTAGCAAGTTCAGTGTTGCGTGTGTGTGTGTCGGCAAGCTGAATGATTCGGAATCATTTCTGCAAAATGGACGCTTTGACAGGAGTTTTGTTAACCCTTTTAATGCAGGTATTTTTTAAATTTTATTTCCGGTTGTTTTTCTGCTTTTAATTGGGCGTCGGGAACCGAAACTCGAACTGGAACCGTCCACGCGACAATAAACGTAGCGAGAGCGCGCAGTCTTATCCAAACTTATTGGGCTTATCGGATAATTTTGGGTAGGAACTATCATTCATTTGATTCTGCACTTTAACGGCTACATCTTGACTCATTGTCCACAAGGAGAGAGTGTCACTGCCTTAATTTTGCGAAGGATCTTCTGAATGAGCGTTGTAAATCTTTCTTCCCTCCATCTAGATTGGCCAGCCATGGTAGGAGCCTGCGTAACTCAAAGAATATTTCCTCGATGATATATCCACGACTTGCCGTTCCAGAAATAGCCCAATCTCATACTACGTTGACCTAACTAATTGAAGTGGTTAAGTGTTTAAATATTGTTAACCCCGTCACGCCCTTACTTTTACTATATCGATTTCGTTTTGATATTTTTCTTTTTCATACATTCCTCCTCATGAATCCCTGACCAATTCTTATGGTTTTTGTGGGTACATTATTTATTTTAAACTTCTTATTAATGTCACTTTTTGTATTTTAAATCCAAACCCAATGTAAATTTTTAATGTATTTTTTTCTGTAAATCATGTACAATTTGGCCTTTGGGCCACAACCCATGAGTTTAAATAAACCAGAATAATACGTGAAAAGGTACCATTAAGGAGACACGGTATCGTAATTTCTTCAAACGGTGGGAGACACCGGTCATAAGGGGGACATTTGTATTTCTCCCTAATGTAACAGCCCCCTTGGAGGCAAAATTTTTATGTCGCAATTAATTTATTATTGGTACTCATGGTCTAATTAGGAAACAGGACAAGGAAATATTGGGTTAGGGCACATTTAAGTTTGAAAAATTTTGTGCACAAGTCTATGGGAATGTCTTCCAAATGACCTATTTCCCGCAATTATAATAATAATAATAATAATAATAATATAATACTAAAAATGTAATCGTTTGAAATATAGAATTTAGATTTAAGGATGTAAATATGAAATGCGACTGTTAACCGAAATATAACGGACACATATTACTACCAAGCAGGGGCGTTACTGGAAGTCGATTTGAAGTGAGGGAAGGGAGACACCTAGGGTGCGTAGTTTTCGGGCAGGGGAGGGCACTCAATTATTTTTTTTAACACCAAAAACTTAATATGTATTGTTTCCCTCCTAAATTCTGAGAGACGGCACAGACTCAAATTTGGGAGATGCCACATCCTCTTACTTTTCGTACTGCCACAAAAACAGATAGCATGAAACATTAATTTAAAAAATACATACTGGAGCCAATACTTCATTTTTCTTTTCGTTTGCACCGAAACGTTCCGCCCATTTAAGTCCAAACTTTCACAATACGAGATTCAAATGCTTATCCATTCGTCATTCCTTCTCTAATGAAGAAACAACGAAGTCTAAATTCGCAGGACGCTTGGAAGCAACAATTTCCGTCCAGCAGAAGTATTTTAATTAAGAATGGTACATTACTATTGCTGAAGTAATCATTTACATTTCAGCAATTTGTGTCAGTGCATTCGAGTGCCAACGTGGAGTTCAAGTTTCTGAGATGGAGTAACCCGGACCACTCGGACTCGGGCGGGGGCTGTTGTGATTCCAGCTGGGGGAATTGTAATGCGTGTGATAACTATTTCATCGTCTGTCTAGACGATGACGTTCCAGGGTGAGTCATTCTCAGTTAGCCTTGTTTTACTGATTCGAATAAGTGAATTTGAATACTTCATTACATGTCATTATGGCGACAATACAATTTTGGTCATGGGATTTATGCGTTCAAAATTACAGAATAGTGACAACCGATTAGGTGGTTCTATACCCCCGCTCAAGGGCGGATCCAGAACACAAATTGTTTGTTTTTTTTGTTATTTTTTGGATTCTAAATGTTCTGTGGTGCGATCTGAGCAATTTCTGACCACTTTGACCAATTTCGTTGGAGGAAAAGATAGTGATGCGCGCAGTGCCTGCCTTTATAGCGACTTCACTTTAACAAAAAAATTGGGTTCGTATTGGGGGGGTCCATGTCCCCCGTTGGCACCCCCCTCCCCCTTGGATCCGCCCTTTCCCCCACTCCATGATTGGAAACAAACAGGAAAAGGAAAGGGAAACAAACAGATTAAAGCCTGCACTGGGAAACATTATTTTCCTTCGAAAGTGTTAGGAATATAGCTTTTGGCATCTTCATCCATGATAAGGTACATGTAGGTCAGATTCCACATAATGATGAAAGTTTGTGCTTTGTCTTGACATTTTTATTTTATCTACACGAATAATGCCATTTTAAAATAGGCATTAGGCCGCTTATAAACAGTGAGGGACTTTATGAGGCAGCGACATGAGCACCAAGTTAATTCTGTGCCCCCATTCCCATCCCAAACGCAAACAAAGAAGAAGTCCGTTTAAAACCGGCTAGGGGGCCTATAGCCGTGGATAATGGCCCGCGGCTCCTTCGGCTCGGTCCATTATCTGCGACCAGGCCCCTAGCCGGTTTAAAACGTACTTGTTTAATACCAAAACAAGTCACAAATTAAACATTCAATTGAAACATTGTTCGTGGGTACCATGCAGCATGTTTTAGGTCTTTTTATTGTGTTCCTTCCATTGTGTAATTGATTAGATGGTGTTCAAATATCAGTGAGTCGAATTGACTTCGAATCGAATCGACCACACACTGTGACTCGACTCGACCTTCTTGACCTAACGACCTTTGATTGGACACGAGTCACTTTCTTAAAATGACTCGACTCGAGTCACAAAATCTAGTGACTCGTTACAACTCTGAAGTACATCAATACTTTCTCATTCACCCTTTTAAACTGCTCGGCTTTCTTTCATTGTCTTACGAATCTGTAACAATAACCAAGGCATATGACAAACAAAATCGCAAATTATCTCTTTCGCAGAAACGACGATTTCAACGACTGTGGGATAGCATCAATTGAGACCGAGGTGATTAGTGACGATGAGTTCGACTTTCCGTCAACAATACCCAACAACATCCCGAATCCCAAGCTGATACCCGTAATGAGCTGGCAGGTAAGGAAATTATAGGCTGCAAGCAGAAACGCCAATACTACTGCATGCGTGTTGTAATTCATCATTTGAAGATTTTCTTTTCAAAAATGTTGTTTTTCCTGTTTATATCTTATATGCAGCGACAGATGAGAGTTAAACTCCGTGTGCAGGATGAAGATTTTTTGGGGGAGGAGCTTGTTGATGAGGATTTCTTGAACATCGACCAAGCATCATCCCCATCACAGTCTAGTGCTCAGTGGCAAAACTACAGGATGGGAACACACGCAGAGTATGTGCCAAGTTTCACGTAAAAGCTTTATAATGGTTCTTTTTGAGAAAACAAGTGCGAGTGTATACAATAAAGCTCTGGCCGGTTGCATGAAATCGATCCCTGCTAAAGCTGAAAAATGCGACGCCGATGGCACGTATGAACACCATATACTGTTGGTCAATTTTCCGGGGACGGACAGTCAGACAGACAGACCATCCGACCGACCAACCGACCGACTACCATGTGACATGTAGAAGCTCCTATCAGAGCTTAAAAGTGCTTCTTTCTATTTTTTGAGGCACCTAGAAAATGTGACATGTGGGAAAATAGTGTGAGAACTTCTAAGAGTAAATGCCAGAAATAAGCCAAATTGCCTTTTATTTCAAAAATATTGATCGAGAAAACAATAGGCACATTCATGATGTGTCGCCTTTTATTGATTTTGCTATGGTCCTGTAGCAAGTTTCACAGGTGGAACCAGTTTTTGTGCCTGTGTTCTCTCAAACCATGCAGTGCAGAACAAGAACAAGAAGAATGCCTCTTACCGGTCAGGCTAAAAAGTTTGTGACCCGGAGCTTAAAGCTTAAATAAAAGATTTTGGCTATATATCCTTGTAAAAGATGTTCCTTGTGATCTCCACAATAATAACAAGAAAAATTCTTTATCTGCTTGACCTCTTAGTTTCACTTTTCAAGTGAGGATATACTGCAACACGAACTACTTCACCCCCGACTGCAGTGTCTATTGCATTCCTACGGATAACCAGAATGGACATTACACATGCGACTCGACCACAGGGGACAAGATATGCCAAGATGGCTGGGAAGGTATACGTAATAATTGTGTTTTGGGTTCAAATACCGGTGTGGCAAATTTTGTGTCTGGTTGGCTAAAAAAACGGTTACATGGGTTCACTTAAAAAGGGTAGTGTATGTAAATTGCGTCGAGCAGGCACAATTTAAGCGATTGTGACTGATTTCACTGCCATGAGGAGGTAGTGGACGTGTGTCCGAAACTGGCTTACGGAGCTACGGCTATGTCTTTTATCAGCTGTTGCTAAGAGATTCGGACGCGGTCTATCAATGTTCATCGCTACAAAAATATGGCGGTTTTGTGGTGTGTTATTTATACTTGCTTGCATTATTAGGGTCATAGACATGCACTACTGCCCATATTCTCAGTCAATTTCTGTCTATGTAACAAAGATGTAATCGAGTCCATCACAAGCCCCTGCAAGTCCATCATAGTCCTCCAGTCCCAATTCAAATCCAAAGTTATTCAATGAGCTTTGACAAAGGCATTCCTTATGTTACATGTTAATCCACTGTGTATTGCGACTACAATCGTGAATGGACTTGTGAACTACTCAATTTGTGATGGACTTGACTACATCCCTGCTGTGTAAATAGTGATTTTTATCGTCGTTCCTCAACTTTTGTCCGACCTTTTTTTAAAATAAAATAAAAAATAAAAAAAAGAAAAATAAGACAAGCATATTTCATAGGCCTATAATGCACGTTTCTTTTGGCTTCATTCAGGAGTTGATTGCAATGAAGACATCGATGAATGCCAGACTGGTCCCTGCCTCCATGACGCTACATGCCACAATGGGATGAACCAGTTTTCCTGTTTCTGCACAGGCGGCTGGACAGGTAGGACAACTAGACTTTTCCTAATCAATATGCAAAATGCTGAAAATAGTAATATTCTGGATAGGATTACGTTTGCTGGATTCAATCCGTGATGTCTCTGTGTACAGTACCCATGAACAGTGACATGATAGTGTTTGGCCCCTTATGTGGTTGCGAAGGGCGATTTCTAAAGGTTACGTTATACTTTATTTTGAATGAAACTACATGTACATATGTAAAAGATATGTCACTAAGTTCGCTCGACTGGTGGCATCTGCACTAGGAATCAGAGGGTCATGGGTTTGAGTCCCACTCGAATATGCTAGCCTGTGGGTTTTTTTACTCGCAAGAAAATGTTGCTCAACGGTAAAACCAAATATTTGATTTTTTGTGGTAAGGTGATCGCTGCGAGGTTGATGTCAACCAGTGTGCGGTCAATCCCTGCCGCAACAACGGTACGTGCAACGATTTCCTCGGCTTCTTCAACTGTTCCTGTGACCCTGCTTACCTCTACCTAAACGACTTGTGTGACATAGACTACTGTGCAGACCAGCCTTGCCTGAACGGATCGACCTGCATAGTCCACGACAGTAACTTCTCCTGCTCATGCGCGATGGGCTTCGAGGGCGAATTGTGTCACGTCGACATCAACGAGTGCGCAGGCGCACCTTGTGCTAATGGCGGGAACTGCACTGACGGCCTGGGATGGTTTAACTGCACGTGCCCGCTCGGTTACGAAGGGGAGCTTTGCCAGATAGACATTAATGAATGTCAGTCCAGTCCGTGCTCTAACAGCTCAACTTGTGAAGATCTGGTCAACAGATTCCACTGTCATTGTCCGCTGGGATTTGAGGGAGCACTGTGCTTGGACGAAATCGATGAATGCTCGCCAAACCCTTGTCAAAACAACGCAACGTGCAGTGATTTTCTTGGATATTTTGAATGCAACTGTTCAATGGGATTCTTCGGAGATTTATGTCAGGTAAACGTTTAAGAAAATAGTAAAAAGAAGGATAGTCTGGACCCTCAAATGCTGAAAAATTTTAAGACTTTAAAATATTGATAAATTGATACGTTTTGTGTTTTTTGGGGTATCCTTTAAGGTCGACATCGACTACTGCATCAACCAAACATGCGCAAACAATGGCACGTGCGTGGATCGACTAGACGGGTTTCACTGTCTGTGTGAGAAGGGCTACAAAGGCGCCATGTGTGACGTAGAAATTGACGAATGCGCCAACGATCCGTGCATGCACAATGGAACGTGCCACGACTTCATCGGATTCTACAGGTTTGTTGCTGCAATAATTCACATGCATCCCTATGAGAATTGTTTTTGTTTTGCTAAAAGAACAATTACTTTGTTTTGATCCGTGGGCAAAACTCTAAAACGGTGTTTGTGTTCAATATTCCGTAACTTGATGAGAAGTACATGATTTGAATGATTCTTGTAAATAATAAATGGGCTTTATATCCTAGTTTTTGAAAGTGCTACAAAACTTCATCCAACTGCTCTCGCCACACAGGTGTTCGTGCGTCGAAGGCTACGACGGCGACAGCTGTGAGCAAGAAATAGACGAGTGTCGGAGCTCTCCGTGCAAGAACGACTCAACCTGCATCGATCGACTGGATGGATTCGACTGTCAGTGTGCCGCTGGCTTTGAAGGCACCTTGTGTGACATCGACACGGACGAGTGTCAGAGCTTCCCGTGCTACGACAATGAGACCTGTATTGATGTCGTCAATGGGTTCAGGTAAAGGCTCCAGGTGGATCTAGAAATCAGGAAAATTGCCATTTTCTGTGCTTGATACCTAAGTCATGGGACTTAAAAGGGGCGTATTTGATTTCAGTAGGGAGGGGCTGCAGGTAATATCCTTGTTTTGCCCTGTGATATCATATCTTATTTAATAATACATCTGTGTTCTGCGATGTTGTATTTAAACCAAAAATCGAAACAAAAATGGAACTGCATGCTGTAAACGTAGAGAAATAAACAGGTGATTCAGTTACTCAAAACCTGCATATTTTTCAGAAGTTGGCTGTGGCCACTAAAATTTCCTTTCTGTCGACAAAAGGGTCGCTAGCTTTTTCATTTCAACTGCGGCATTTTCTTCTATAAATTTGTAGGTGTGTGGATGGCAAAGACATGTGTGAGCAGCATGTCTGCCAGAACAACGCAACCTGTCTCGACGACGACAGGGGGACCGGGTACAGCTGTTACTGCCCGCCGGGCTACCACGGCCAACTGTGCCAGATTAATACGGACGAGTGCGTCAGCTCCCCATGCCTGCACGACGGCACCTGTGAAGATCGGGTCAACGCGTTCGACTGCCACTGCGCGCCGGGGTACGAGGGCTTACGGTGTGAGAACGAGACGGACGAATGCACCAGCTCGCCCTGTGAATACGGCAGATGTGTGGACCTTGTAAACGGCTTCGAGTGTGCATGTACGGTAAGTCGAAGTAGCCTGCCTGGGAAAATTCAGGTTCACAGACCAAATTAGATCTGACTATTCTGACGAATGTTAAGTCAGGCCAAAAAAACAACCTTGCTACCTTTCTTGATGGAGTAGTCTGTCGATACGTTTGTTGTCACACCCACATTCAAAATGATCTGCCGACGCCTGTGACTTAGACCCCTGGATACGCTACTGCCATCATCCAGCTAGTCACTTTGTATGATATGCTGTATACATTTTCCCAAGTTGTTCATTCCAACATGCGAAGCCTCGATTTCGCATTTTTCAATCTAAGTGCAGTATTCCTAGTATGATTTCCTTATGATGAACATTTCCAATGAACTTGAGGAGATTATTGTGCAACCTATCTATAAAGCTTTGAATAACATACTTCCTGAGTGATCGTTTCCCCTGAACTAAAATTATTTCCCTCATAGTCAAATTGAAGTGCTGTCCAGAGCCTAACATTCCAAACCTTTGCAGAAACTGCTTAAAGAATCTGCAATAAGTTGCATCTTGGTGGGAGTTTTAGAGTGAGTCTTTTGTGTTAATAGGTCGAATGTCAGAATGGCTACTGTGACGCCGGTGTATGCCGTTGTACTGAAGGATACGAGGGTGAGGATTGTAGCGTGCTGATAGACTACTGCAGCAGTTCACCCTGCGCTAAGGGGACATGCGTCCCATTATTCGATAGTTTCAGGTCAGTATCGATACAATTTACCCTAGTTATACAGTGGGATCAGTGCGTGGAATTTGATTTGTGAAACATGATTCCACTGATTGCAAAACCTTCGTCTAAATGCGGTCCATTTTGCAAAGTATGCATCCAAACGAATGTGTTAAAAAGTCAAACAAGACGACAAGAAACGCTTAATAAAGCTTGTCCCGGCTCCCACAAAATTCTGTTGAGTTGACTCAGAATGGCTTTATACAGTGGACGTCTTTTCAGACATCTGGTCTACACATGATTTAGCCCATTCATCGGCGTTACGGGGTAGGCCTACTCCTGTACGATAGCACTGCCGCATCACATGTCAGTTGTCAGAGAATCAGTGACTAGTCCGAGAGAGGTACAAAGACGCCATTCGGCTGGCCCTCTGGGACCAGCAAAGATCCATTGTAAAGTCTGCGTGATTTTTGTAATAAATTGGGACCCTTACTATAGTCTATTGAACATCCTCTTCCACAGCAAGGGTTATGTTTTGATATCCAGATTCTGAACATCTGATGGATGATGATAGCCGAATTTACCAATTAGGCAACAGCTTAGTCCTCATTTCTGATCGAAGTGACGTCTAATAAAGTTGACTCCGATTGACTGGCGCGCGGGGTCGTATACTATTTGCACGATCAGATGTTCATCGTGTTGCTCTGCACACGTCATGAATACTCAGACTATACATGTCGACAGTATACCTGTTGAAAATTGTGATAGTGAGGTAAATTGCCAATTAAATAATTCAGGCAGATTAGAAACGTGGCACATACACGCATCATTTCTAAGCTTCCTGCTGGTTTTCTGCGTTTGAAATGACTCGATTAATATCGAAATTGTGCATTATTTGACTTTTTTCATTCACATAGATGCGAGTGTGATCCCTTCCACGAAGGTGAATACTGTGAGAAAATGATAGAGAATCCCTGCTCCCTGTCACCGTGTAATGGGAACGGCCAATGCTCACTGTCTGCAGACAAGAATGACGGGTATCAGTGCACCTGTAACGATGACTTCTACGGAGAGAAATGCGACAAAGGTAGTTCACTTAGTCCCTCTCACATAAAGGACTCTGACGTCTGCTAATCTCTTTCACGTTATCTTGCAAAGGAAGAGCAGGGCACTTGGGGTATCTTGTTGCAGAGATCAATGCGCGGGCAAATTTTGGGCGGAATCTTGGATTTGTTGGGTTTTTTATTCACTGAAAAAAAGTAATCCCGAATGTCCATTCTAAAAAACCACACAAATAGACCTGTCAGTTCTTTTCTTCAGGACTTCAGTGTCTGTGAGTGTTGACGTCAGCACATCAGCTGTTTCAAAAAGACTTTTGTTCATACTACAGGTTGATAATCATTAACAAAAAAAATGGTTTGTCAATAGACCTATCAGTTCATTTCTTCAGGACTTCAGTGTCTGTGAGTGTTGACGTCAGCACATGCATCAGCTGATTCAAAGAGACTTTTCTTCATACTACAGGTTGATAATCATTAAAAAATTGTTTGTCAATAGACCTATCAGTTCATTTCTTCAGGACTTCAGTGTCTGTGAGTGTTGACGTCAGCACATCAGCTGATTCAAAAAGACTTTTCTTCATACAACAGGTTGATAATCATTAACAAAACGGTTTGTCAATTTCATTTGGTTGTACGTGAAGTGGTTTGCTTACGCTTATCTTCTAAAGAAAGCTACCTCTCACTGGTTACATTACTGCGTGTTACCATTCAGTCCTCCAAATTCGGTACATTTGAATTTGAAGTCAAACGTGGAACTTTTATGTAAGAAATCCCAAGATATCTTCAAAACCTATAATGGATTTTGCTGTGTGTTTTGCATATTCCTTGGATGGCCTTCAGTGAATTGAACTGTTCAATTTGATTGGTTTTATCGCCAGCGTTAAAAGTGTATGGATGCGTCGTCTTCATCGTGGGGACACTGACAGACCTTGCCGATTTCGAGACCCACATGGCCAACTTATTGAAGTTGCTGCTGACGTCAGAGTATGCACGGAGCAGCAAGAATATCACAGTCGACGTCGTCAAAACAGAGGACTACGTCGAGTCTAGCACAGGGTAATGTGACCGTGACACGGTCAGATGAAAACTAGCTGAATATTGAAGATGAACTTTTTAAGTGCATTTTTTTCATTCTGCCTTTTTTATGAACAGCTTTTACAACACCATTATAGTGTAGAATTTTAAAATATACATAAGGGGCCTACTGTGAACAAATCTGCGAATGTTTTATATCTGGAAGCATAAACAATTTTGACTGCAGTATAATTTTATGCACTCTCTACACCTTCGGCATTTTTGGCACGTGAATGCATACAAGTCACCTAAGCGTGTCTTTCCTACTATTTATTCAACAGTGGTCACCTTCTTTAAACTCACCCATATTCCCAGTGATGAACATTCAAAGTCGTTGACAGTGATTTGCTTCCCCCGCCCTTGAAAAAAAGAAAATGAACAAGCTATCTTAATTATTGCATTTATGTATAGGGATCCGCTTACCCGCGTCACCTACGTGGTTTGGTCCTCGGAAGATTTTCTCCCTAAAACTGAGGTGGAGAAGGCGGTAGACGAGGCACCTCCTTCCCAGGTCAATGAGGAGCTTGGTTACGGGGTGTTCAAGGGAAAGGCAGAACCGAAACCCCAGAATAACCCGGTGAGTTCAAGGTTGAACACAATCATGACCTGACGCGCATGCGTGTTTATGATATAATCCGAAGACATGCTTTGCACTATTCTTGTTTGGCCAATCCTCTTATTTGAATAATGTATTATTTCTGACCGACTTAAGACAGATTGCCAACCGAGTACGTCAGTTGTGTGTACTCCATGCAGTTAGAGAAACATAAAATAGGTTATTAGCAAGTCAATTGTAAGGCAGGTCTATCTCACTCAGATCATCGGTTTGTGAAAACATGAAAGTCAAGTTTTGTGTCCTCCATACACATGACAATTAAAGAAGCATAACTTATTAGCAAGTCTGTTATTACGCAGGTAGACCATACTTAGATCGTGTTTGTGGAAACACGAAAGTTTAGTCTGAGTCCACGGACAAGCAGCCTTTTTTTCAAAACTGAATTGAGTTGGGACCTGATAACAGTGTTACTTCGCAATGTTAAGACACCCATTATGAAGGAGTACAATTTTAACATTGCTTTGAATTTGGGATCTACGAGAAGTTTTAGAACAAGACCTAGATTAGTCAATTTCAATAAAGAAAAAACAGTCAATAGAGATTTGATATGGGTCACAACGACGACAAACGCCAAAACTCTCCTGAGGCATTTTTTTGAATGGCCCTCAAATTATTTATTTGCAATTTTCAAGGCGTGCGAACCGTTCGCAAATTACAGTAACCGAATCTAATACACTTCCCGCCACAAAATTCAGTACCTATTGAATCATTAACACATATCGTCAATCTTGAAATGCTTATTAATTCTTGAAATGTTATTAACTCATCAGAACTGGGCTGCTTCCCATTGGTACGTCATTGTTATCGTCATCCTGATTACAGTGGCCGTGGTGGTAGGGCTTGTGGCTTTCAGAATGAAGCATACAAGACGGTAAGTGTTTTGTGCACTTTTTGTTGGAGATTTTAATGTTAACCTTGTGACAAGGCCATCGTGACGATTGACATTTTTATCTTTTCCCCGGTGCCATGAGGTGGCGCGGATTGAGCGCAGACTAGGCCTTGGCTTAGTGCACAGCCTCCACTCAATGGGCGCGTACGTGCGCGTTCCTTCACTTCACTTGAGATCGCACAAGGCACGATGGGAAACAACATGGCGCAGCAAGAGCTCGTACCCATGGGAACGAGGTTGCATAGCGCAGGCCGAGCTAGTCGTCACTTGGCATTTGTAGTCTTCGTTTAATCCGTCTCTATGGTTGTGAGCGTAAGATGAAATGCTGAGTAACAGAACAATGCAGACTGAGTGATTCATTAGGTACTTTTTACCTTTTTTTCAGAATTCTTCACATAACCCGAAAATCGGAGAGACTGGAGATGGATGATGAGCTGCAAGACGACGGACACTTCAACGTCTTGGCAGAGGCCGATTACGAGGAAGTGGGGAACCAGACCGCTAACGGCTCAGCCAATGCCTCGGACTACGAAATCCCATCGTGTGTCAAAGAGGACATGGGCGAATATGCGGAGACGGCTGTCGACAACATTTATTCCGAGACCCCGGATGTATGGAAGCCTTCGACAAACTAGAGTTGGTGATCAGACTCTAAAATGTCGCAGGTCAGGTTCGATCCACAATCGGAGCCACATTTGACATGATACTTTTTCGGGTCAAAATTATGATTCTCCAGTACAAAATGATACTTTTCCGGGTCAAATGACACTTCACATCATTGTCAATTTCCGGTTCATTTTGACCCGAAAAAACTTGGATCTTTTAAGAGAGCATTAACTGCGTTATATAATTTAGCAGACAGCAATTCCTAATTAATTTACCCTCTCTTAAAAAGAAGAAATAATAATAATTTTCCTAGGTTCAAAAATAAACTTGATTTACCGCTTTTAATTGCTGTTCCAATATTTGGTTAATCGGTGGCTTTTGTATATTTCCCTCCAAAAATGATCAACCCTAATGCCTAAAAGTAATCCTGGGGCCAATAGAAATTGAAAAAGGAAAACAAAAAGTAACTCCACTTTGTCGCAAAGTGAAGTACAAGTCTGTACCTAATCAATCCTAATCAATCCAAATTGCCGAGAAATACCAGTTATCTTATCTCTACAGAGCTGGAGCATTAACGAACCTTCAAGAGCATTTGCCACACGTCCGCTATCAAGAGTATCGACAAAGTGCAAGTAATTAAAAAAATCATACGTTCAAGGCACGTCCCATGTTGGCAGAAGTATATAGAAAAGGTCTAAACGATCAAATGGATATACATTATCTAAACCAAAATATATCTCGCTGAAGAACAAGTGCTCAAACAAGAGAATGTCCTGAATCACTTCCTGGATGTCTGTATTTCTGAAACCATTTCTGCGGACTTCAAACCTATATATAAGAACGCAAAAAAACACAGAGCTTCATCTAAATTACTGTAGGAGAAACAACAAACGTTTAATATTAAATTTGTACATTACAAGTAAAGCCAATGTTTGTGAAATCGTACGCAAACTTGTACGACATTATTAGTGCATGTAAAGAAGCGATTAAGACGTGGAAATGATGTTTTACCGTGAATAATATAATGAGCCGAGAGCTTTATTTTCTGAAGAGCCATTGTCTGCTTATTTTAATTAAATGAAATTGAGAACACTTGATTTTTGTGCCGTAAAACATGAATTATACCACTGACGTTTTCGTTTTTATAAAACAAAAGGCATATAATCATGTGATTAGAAGTGGTACACTGTGATTCGCATAATATACATTTCTTTGCATTTGTAGCTATAAAAGATACGGCAAAGTATTTTCGAAAAATTGGCTCAGTGAAAATTACAGGAAAGAAACAATAATGAATTGGAAATAAGAAAACATTGAAATGACATTTGCTATATTTATAGTTGTTGTATTAGTCGGCCATAAGTTTATTAACCTTTTCGTACTTTTAATGTTCAATTTCGGTAGAAAGCGTATATAATCCATGAAACAAAATGCAAGAAGTAAAACAATACTTCGTAATTATTTGTAATTTAAGGGACACCGTAATCAATATAACTATTCTCAGGTCGTACTAAATTTAATTTTAAAAAAATTTACAATTATCTTATTCCTTTTACCGTATTTTTTTTCATTCAAAATAATTCGCCAGTACAGTGTTTGTATATGGTCGGTTGATTACTCATTGGTATCCCTGCGTGTTTTTGTTAATAAGTACTCCACTCCACAGAGTACCTCAAGGTAGGAGCTTACAATATTGCATAGCGACAAAATAAATGTGAGCATATGGTATAACTAGCATATATTATGATAAATATTTGCATATTGCCGCTTACACAACTTTGTAGCAAATAAGATAATGTCAGCATATACTACAATAATGTTTGCAATTTCAGCGTAAATATATTTCCGTATAACTTGTTTTCTTCGTGAATGACTCACTTATTAACATTGATCAAAGGGCTATTTGGTGTGTTGAGATCATGACAAAATAGCCTGATTTTGTCCCTTTTTGCGTGTTCTTTAAGAAATTTGAGGAAATGTGTAGGGTATTTCCCTGAACTGCATAGCTACAATTTGTTGATTTTTTCCCCAACAATTGACTGTGCACTGACTGTATTACTTCCGTGTCTTTCAGTTGAAGTGATCATCAGTGACGCAAACATAAAGGAGTTTCACTTTCTTAAAAAAAAAAAATCAGTTTAGCTGCTAGGTCAAGTGCTACTACGGTCAGCTATTTGCAACTTAAAAATCGGTCAAAATTTTTATGTTCGGATTATTGACTGGAAAATCTGTGGTGTATTGGAATATATCTAGTCGAAAAGGCGAAAACCATCGACATGTGTTGTCCGTTAGCGCTCACCAGTTAATTCTCAGTAACAATTAGAAACCAGTAAGTAGTTTGATTGTGCTGTTCTAATAAGAGTGCAAGACATTCGTAGAAAGAGAGTACCTCAATATAATGCACCAATTTCGTAAAAACAAATGACGTAGTTTTCCATTTATTAACTTTGCATAGTACTCATTCGCGCTTATACACGGACGGTAAAGTGCAGTATGAATTATTAAATATATACAAAATGTTAAGTCCGATTGAGCTAAAGCTTTGCATATGTTGCATATATTTTTCATTGGATTCAAACTAATAGGCGAATAAGTAATTAAATTGGGAGTGCAATTGGGTCTATGATGGTTCCCATGGCATAATTTATGCATGTTCTCCAGTGTCACCCGGCGGTGTCCCCGTGCTGTCTTTTGAATCTCCATGGTGTTCCCATTGTGTCCATAATTTATCACCCACATTATGGTGTTTCCATGGCGTCCGAATCCTCAGAGTGTACCCATGTGTCTAAAATCCCCATGATGTTCACATGGTCCAGTAATCCCCCTTGGTGTTCCCATGGTGACCATAAAGTCCCCATTGTGTTCACATGGTGTCCATAAAATTCCCATGGTGTTCCTGTGGTGTTCATAAATTCTCCATGATGTTCCCATGATGTCCATAAAATCCCCATGATGTTCCCATGGTGTCCGTAAGATCCCCATGGTCTTCCCATGTTGTCCATGCAATCTCTAGGGTGTTCCCAAGGGTTTCCCATGTTGAGCATAAAAACTCCCATGGTGATCATTTTCACTACATGGTGTTCTTGATGACCCCGTGGGTTTCCCATTGCATCCCATGGGACCCCATGGGAATCCCATGGGATGCCCATGTGACATTTCTGTAAGGGATATTTTCTAAACTTTTTGGTTTGGTTCTAGGGGCTCCCGTACAGAGAAAAACAAAAGATGGGTATACCAATTTGTCTTTTTATTAACCAGGGAGAAATGCCTCATATACAGTTTAGTAGTGGATCTACAGGGTGTCTTGAATTCCAAACATTATGAGTTAATTATGCAAAAGTTATTAACTTGAACACTGTCAAACTGACTCCATCTTTGACAGTAATTCATTTACTTTTCATTGATATCGTATTTGCATCTCTTCGATAAAGCACCGTTGAGGGGTGTATTGGTCCCTGTTTTGAAATTAATGGTGCTTTGTCATCCGTGACTGAAGAGAATGCAACATTTTATAAAGTAGGGCCTAAATAAATGAAAACTATCCTTTAAGATGGAGCCATTTCAAAAGTGTTCAAGTTCATAACTTTTAACCCTTTGCTTTTGCATTCCCTTTATTTTGATACATGCAGAGGGGGATAGGGGTTGCGGCTTGCAGCTTGCAAACCCCCCCCCCCCCCCTCCCCTCATGTTCAGCCGCTGACTCGTGTTAAGTGACTAGTAAAATGAAACCACAGAGATCACATGGGATGCTCATTCTCAAATTGCCTTAGAATGCAGGAGAAATCAGTGTAGATTTTAACATTTTCAGGGGGCATTCCATCGGACCTTTGGCACGCCTTAGACTCAACCTATCAATCCCTTTATATCAAACCATCGCCTCCTGAAAGCTAGATGCGATTCTGATAAAATTACGTTAACATTGGGGTTCTTTTTTAACCCCAAAAGGGCCGGGCCGGAATCCGCCCCCCCCCCCCTCAACATTTTCCGCGATAGCGGACCCGAGCTGTTATGACTGTATAGCCTCGAGCTTTGCGCATCTTTCGATACCAAAAACATAAAAATCGAACCACGGGTTGCCGCGTAGCGAAAACTTTTCCGCCGCTACGCGCCGTGAAAACTGAATTTTCCCGTATACGTCGTGCACACAGAGCAGAATTGCCAATCGTACATATGAATAATTGATTAGCCATAATTCCACAATTCTTTGACCTATAGTCATGAAATTTCTTGGGTTATTACAGGCGCGGATCCAGAGGGGGGGGTCAAACCCCCCCCCCCCCAGCTCTGTCAAAAAAACAAAAAATTCCATACAAATTCCTAAAAAATAAGTCGAACCCCCCCCCCCCCCCCCCCCCTGCTGTGACACCCAATAAAATTGTTACTGGTATAATGTCTGCCTGTTGAAAATACGGGACACCATTCCGTAATCTAGTGTTAATAATCGTTGAATTTGAACAGCGCCCCTATTGAAAAATGGTATATTAATTGAAATATAACTTCAGTGGGGTTTTGTGAAGTTCAAATGCACCTCAATATATGACTTTCTGTTCCTGTGAGTGGGCTCAAGAATGGTACGAGCATGGTACTACATGGCACGGTATCTTCACTGCAAACATAATTATGGGGTGTATAATGGTGGACAAAAATCTATTCTGAATGGTAAAGTGGGTTCGAAGAGCAGATTACTTTAACAAAAATGGCAGCAGTGACAGAACCTATGACTAGAAGAACCACGAGCGTCGAGCACGAAATAATTTAACAAGACAATCGAACACACGAACAATCATTCTATTACACAGTCATGTGGCCTTTGCCGTAGCTACGGTCTTCGACCTCGTATACAGGTGTCGCATGCCGAAGAAACCAGAAACAAACACATGTTGTAATTGGCGGTTTTGCGCTCGTGGCCCTTCCAAAAAAAAAGAGCTTTTTAAGTGAACTGACTGTTGTGACGGCCTTTCGCAAGTTCCGTAGCCTTCATAGATACGAAGGTCGTACAAATGTTATTTATGCTGTTTACAAAGTTCTTATGAAGCCCCATAAAGTTGTCCAATACAGGAGAAACACTGGCCTCGTTATTTTTTTAGACGTAAGTTCAAATAATAAATACATTCCTTTTGTAAATATGGATCTTTATAAGTGTTTTTTTTTAAGATACCAATCACTCTATCAAATATTGCTCAGTTTCGACTGAAATTGAGTATGTTCAATGTTGCGTGTGTGTCGGCAAGTTGAATGATTCGGAATCATTACTACAAAATGGACCTTTTGGTGGTAGTTTTCCTCACCTTTTTAATGCAGGTAATATTTTTTAATTGTTCTTTCTGGTTGTTTGCTGCCGTTAAGGTAAATTGGGCGTTTTAAGGGAACAGACAACTCACCTTCAATGTGATAATAGGCTTTAATAAAAGCACAAAGGCTCTGACTGA